TAGACCTGGTTTAGACCTGGTTTAGACCTAGTTTAGACCTGGTTTAGTCCTGGTTTAGTCCTGGTTTAGACCTGGTTTAGTCCTGGTTTAGTCCTGGTTTAGTCCTGGTTTCTATTCTGAGTCAGAGTCCGGTTCTTTTGTGTGACTCTCAGTTTGTGTCTCAGGTGAAGTTCTGATCCTCCTCAGATCCTGGACGTCAGTTCTGACCCAGAGTCCAGCAGATCAAACCAACAGAACCTGGTGTGGTTCTGTTTCATTAAAATGTGATTAACGACCCGTCCTCGTTAGAGCTCTGTCTCCTCGTCTCCTCGTCTCCTCGTCTCCTCGTCTCCTCGTCTCCTTGTCTCCTCGTCGTCTCCTCGTCTCTCCTCGTCTCCTCTTCTCCTCGTCTCCTCTTCTCCTCGTCTCCTCTCTCTCGTCTCGTCTCGTCTCCTCTTCTCCTCGTCTCCTCGCTCCTCCGTCTCTCCTCGTCCCTCCCTCGTCGTCTCCTCGTCTCCTCGTCTCCTCCTCGTCTCTCGTCTCCTCATCTCCTCGTCTCCTCTCGTCTCCTCGTCTCCTCCTCGTCTCCTCGTCTCCTCGTCTCTCCTCGTCTCCTCGTCTCCTCGTCTCCTCTCGTCTCGTCCTCGTCGTCTCCTCGTCTCCTCGTCTCATCCCTCCTCTCCTCCCCCTCATCGTCCCCTCTCCTCTCCTCGTTCCCTCTCTCCTCGTCCCCTCTCCTCGTCCCCTCGTCTCCTCGTCTCCTCGTCTCCTCGTCTCCTCGTCTCCTCGTCTCCTCGTCTCCTCGTCTCCTCAGTGTTTTACGTTCGTTTCCGACTCGAGGCTTTTACTGAATTAAAACTGAAACAGAAACATGAATCAACTTAAACACCGAGACCAGAGACTAAACCAGAACTAAACCAGGACTAAACCAAGAACTAAACCAGGACTGAACCAGGACTAAACCAGACTAAACCGACTAAACCAGGACTAAAACCAAGAACTAAACCAGACTAAACCAAGACTAAACCAGAACTAAACCAGGACTGAAACCAGGACTAACCAGGACTAAACAGGACTAAAACCAGGACTAAACCAAGAACTAAACCAAGGACTAAACCAGAACTAAACCAGGACTAAACCAAGACTAAACCAGGACTAAACCAGGACTAAACCAAGAACTAAACCAGGACTAAACCAGGACTAAACCAAGAACTAAAACCAGGACTAAACCAAGAACTAAACCAGAACTAAACCAGGACTAAACCAGGACTAAACCAGGACTAAACCAGGAAACCAGGACTAAAACCAGGACTAAACCAGGACTAAACCAGGACTAAACCAGACTAAAACCAGACTAAACCAGGACTAAACCAGAACTAACCAGGACTAACCAGGACTAAACCAGGACTAAACCAGGACTAAACCAGGACTAAACAGGACTAAACCAGGACTAAACCAGAACCAGGACTAAACCAGGACTAAACCAGACTAAACCAGGATAAACCAGGACTAAACAGGACTAAACAGACAAACCAGGACTAAAACCAGGAACTAAAACCAGGACTAAACCAGACTAAACCAGACTACTAAACCAGAACTAAACCAGGACTAAACAGGACTAAACCAGAACTAAACCAGGACTAACCAGAACTAAACCAGGACTAAACCAGGACTGAACCAGGACTAAACCAGGACTGAACAGGACTAAACCAAACTAAACCAGACTAAACAGAACTAAACCAGGACTAAACCAGGACTAAACCAAGACTAAACCAGGATGAACCAGTTGAACCAGGACTTAAACCTCCTGAGGTTAGAACCTCAGACGGTTTAATCCTGTTTTAGTCCTGATTCTGGTCTGGTTTAGTCCCACTTTAGACCTGGTTTAGTCCCTGGTTTAGTCCCTGGTTTAGTCCCTGGTTTAGTTCTGGTTTAGTCTGGTTTAGTCCTGGTTCAGTCCCTGGTTTAGACCTGGTTTAGTTGGTCCTGGTTTAGTCCTGGTTTAGTCTGTTTAGTCCTGGTTTAGTCTTGTGTTTTCTGGTTTAGTCCTGGTTTAGTTCCTGGTTTAGTCCTGGTTTAGTCCTGGTTTAGTCCTGGTTTAGTCCTTTTAGTTTAGTCTGGTTTAGTCCTGGTTTAGTCCTGGTTTAGTCCTGGTTTAGTCCTGGTTTAGTTAGGTTTAGTCCTGGTTTAGTCCTGGTTTAGTTTTAGTTCTTGGTTTAGTTTTAGTGGTTTAGTTCTTGGTTTAGACCTGGTTTAGTTCTTGGTTTAGACCTGGTTTAGTTCTTGGTTTAGACCTGGTTTAGTCCTGGTTTAGTCCTGGTTCAGAGGCGGGACAAACACAGAGACTCAGACCCAGATTTGGCTGAGACCAAACGTGGACTTGAACCTGGACTTAGACCTGGACTTGGGAAAGCGGTCGGTGTAAACAGTGATGAAACGAGGCCAGAGTCACGGGGAGTTTTGAAAGTCCAGGTCAGATCCTGCCACGACTCGTTGAGCAAGACACTTTTATCACCACAGGAACAAAACCGACGACCACAAAAACACAAAACCACAACCGAGGTTTTATCATAGACCTGCACCATTTACACAAGAACAAAACCCCACTGAGACCAGGACTAGACCTAGACCGACTAGACCAGGGACTAGACCAGGACTAGACCAGGGACTAGACAGGACGGAGACTAGACCTAGGGACTAGACCAGGACTAGACCAGGACTAGACCAGGGACTAGACAGGACTAGACCGGACTAGACCAGACTAGACCAGAGACTAGACCAGGAACTAGACCAGGACTAGACCAGGGACTAGACCAGGACTAGGACTAGACAAGGACTAGAACCAGACTAGACCAGGACTAGACCAGACTAGACCAGGACTAGACCAGGGACTAGACAGGGACTAGACTAGACAGGGACTAGACCAGGAACTAGACTAGACTAGACCAGGGACTAGACCACCAGGGACTAGACCCGGACTAGACCAGGGACTAGACCAGGACTAGACTAGACAGACCCAGGGACTAGACCAGGGACTAGACCAGGGACTAGACCAGGGACTAGACCAGGGACTGAACCGGGACTAAACCAGAACTGTTTACATCAAACTCTGTTCCAGTTCTTAGGAAAAGACTCGATTCTGTTCTTTGCCGTGACTTCGCTATGGGGCTGTTCTACATGCATGTCTGTGGTAGAATGTTCAGCAGTTTCCGTGACGACACAAACACACACAAACACACACAAAAAAGTTTTAAACTCGTCTGAAAACTGAAGAAAAGTGAAAGGAGCCGCAGACAGAGCAGAGCCTCCAGATGTGTGTGTGTGTGTTGTTCTTGTGTGTAACTTGTGTGTTTTCTGTGTTTTTGTGTGTTTTTGTGTTTTGTGGAGCCTCTTCTGGGGGGTGTGTGTGTGAATGTGCGTGGACATTTTTCTGAGCGCAGAGGAGCAAGTGTCTGAACAAACGTCTGAAACAACTGACACTGAACAGCTGCAAACACAAGTGTGAAACAGACCGAGACCAAGACCAGACCAAGACCAGACCAAGACCAGACCAGACCAGACCCAGACCAGACCCAGACCGACCGACCAGACCAGGGCCAGACCAGACCAGACCAGACCCAGGGCCGACCAGACCAGACCAGACCAGACCCAGACCAGACCCAGAGACCAGGAGACCAGACCAAGGACCCAGGGCCGGACCAAGACCAGACCGAGACTAGACCCAGGGCCGGACCGAGGGCCAGGCTGGGTCCAGGCTGGGTCCAGGCTGGGTCCAGGCTGGGTCCAGGCCGGGTCTAGTTTTGGTTTAGTCCTGGTCATGTTCATTTTCAGTTTGGTTTTACAGTTTGATCCTAAATCAGTCCCAGGATCAAACTCAGATTCTCACAGATCCAGAGTTTAAACCAAGGACCGGACTAAACCAAGGACCGGACTAAACCAAGGACCGGACTAAACCAGGGACCGGACTAAACCAAGGACCGGACTAAACCAAGGACCGGACTAAACCAAGGACCGGACTAACCAAGGACCAGGACTAAACCAAGGACCAGACTAAACCAAGGACCAGACTAAACCGGGACCAGACTAAACCAGACTCAGATTGTGGACTTTTGTTTTGTGGACTTAACTGGGAGTTTAGGAGGATCTTCATGTCTGATTAATCGATTAAAGGACCAGGGTTCAGGATCTAGGGTCCACCCTAGATCCTGATCCGGTCTCTGGTCCTCTGGTCCTCGGTCTCGGGTCTCGGGTCTCGGTCTCGGGTCTGGTCCTGGTCTCTGGTCTCTGGTCTTTGGTCTCTGGTCTCTGGTCTTTGGTCTTTGGTCTCTGGTCTCTGGTCTGGTCTGGTCTTGGTCCTGGTCTTTGGTCTTAGCTCTGGTCTCTGGTCTCTGGTCTTTGGTCTTTGGTCTCTGGTCTCTGGTCTCTGGTCTTTGGTCTCTGGTCTTTGGTCTCTGGTCTTGTCTCTGGTCTTGGTCTGGTCTTCTTGGTCTCTGGTCTTGGTGGACTCTGGTCCTGGTCTCTGGTCTCTGGTCTCTGGTCTGGTCTCTGGTCTTGGTCTTGGTCTCTTCTTTGGTCTCTGGTCTCTTGGTCTCTGGTCTTTGTCTGGTCTTGGTCTCTGGTCTGGTCTTTGGTCTCTGGTCTCTTGGTCTTGTCTGGTCTTGGTCTCTGGTCTCTGGTCCTGGTCCGGGGTCTCTGTGGTCTTTGGTCTCTGGTCCTGGTCTTTGGTCCTGGTCTCTGGTCTTGGTCTCTTGGTCTGGTCTCTGGTCTGGTCTGGTCTTGGTCCTTTGGTCTGGGGTCTTGGTCTGGTCTCTGGTCTCTGGTCTGGTCTCTGGTCTTCTGGTCTTTGGTCTGGTCTTTGGTCCTGGTCCTGGTCCTGGTCTCTGGTCCTGAAGTGTCAGAGGTCTCTGTCTCTGTGTCTCTGTGTCTCTGTGTCTCTGAGTCTGTCTCTGTGTTTGTGATTAGAATCTGGTTTGAATTAAAATCCTCGTTGTTAATCCCGTCTCTTTTTTTTCTCTCTCCAGCTGCTGATACTGCAAATACTACGACTACTGAAAGTACTACAAGTACTGCAAATACTACTACTACTACTGCAGTAACGGAATAATACGAGCAGAAACAGAACAAAGGTGAGAAACAAATAAATATAAAGAATAAATAAAATCCACACGAAGTAAACGAGTACAAGTACACGGGTTTAGTCCTGGTTTAGTCCTGGTTTAGTCCTGGTTTAGTCCTGGTTTAGTCCTGGTTTCAGTCCTGGTTTAGTCCTGGTTCAGTCCTGGTTCAGTCCTGGTTCAGTCCTGGTTTAGTCCTGGTTTAGTCCCTGGTTTAGTCCTGGTTCAGTCCTGGTTCAGTCCTGGTTTAGTCCTGGTTCCTGGTTAGTCCTGGTTTAGTCAGTCCTGGTTCAGTCCTGGTTTAGTCGTCCTGGTTCAGTCCTGGTTCAGTCCTGGTTCAGTCCTGGTTCAGTCCTGGTTTAGTCCTGGTTTAGTCCTGGTTCAGTCCTGGTTCAGTCCTGGTTTAGTCCTGGTTCAGTGGTTTTTAGTCCTGGTTTAGTCCTGGTTCAGTCCTGGTTTAGTCCTGGTTTAGTCCTGGTTTAGTCCTGGTTTAGTCCTGGTTTAGTCCTGGTTTAGTCCTGGTCAGTCCTGTAGTTAGTCCTGGTTTCCTGGTTTAGTCCTGGTTAGTCCTGGTTTAGTCCTGGTTTCAGTCCTGGTTCCTGGTTCAGTCTGGTTTAGTCCTGGTTAGTCCTGGTTTAGTCCTGGTTCAGTCCTGGTTGGTTTAGTCCTGGTTTAGTCCTGGTTCAGTGACAGTTTGTGGACAGACTTGTTCTGAACTCGTTTCTGAGTCAGAACCGTTTGGACCCAGAGGCAGAACCAGAATCAACACGAACTCGGTCACATGATCAGATTCAACACACGCACACACACAGAGTCTGGATCTGGGTCTGAGTCTGGGTCTGGTCTAGTTCTGTCTTCAGGAGATCTGACCCCTTTGACCTTTGACCCACTACTCCAAAAGACCCCAGTCCTAGACCTGGTTTAGACCTGGTTTAGACCTGGTTACCTGGTTTTAGTCCTGGTTTAGACCTGGTTTAGTCCTGGTTTAGACCTGGTTTAGTCCTGGTTTAGACCTGGTTTAGACCTGGTTTAGTCCTGGTTTAGTCCTGTTTAGTCCTGGTTTAGACCTGGTTTTAGACCTGGTTTAGTCCTGGTTTAGTCCTGGTTTAGACCTGGTTTTAGTCCTGGTTTAGACCTGGTTTAGACCTGGTTTAGACCTGGTTTAGTCCTGGTTTAAGTCCTGGTTTAGACCTGGTTTAGACCTGGTTTTAGTCTGGTTTAGACCTGGTTTAGACCTCCCCTGGTTTAGTCCTGGTTTAGACCTGGTTTACCTGGTTTAGTCCTGGTTTTAGGTTTAGACTGGTTTAGTCCTGGTTTTAGTCCTGGTTTAGACCTGGTTTAGGCCTGGTTTAGTCCTGGTTTAGTCCTGGTTTAGACCTGGTTTAGGCCTGGTTTTAGACCTGGTTTAGACCTGGTTTAGTGGTTTAGATGGTTTAGTCCTGGTTTAGACCTGGTTTAGACCTGGTTTACCTGGTTTAGACCTGGTTTAGTCCTGGTTTAGGCTGGTTTAGGCCTGGTTTAGTCTGGTTTAGTCCTGGTTTTTAGACCTGGTTTAGACCTGGTTTACTGGTTTAGACCTGGTTTAGACCTGGTTTCCTGGTTTAGACCTGGTTTAGACCTGGTTTACCTGGTTTAGGCCTGGTTACCTGACCTGGTTTAGGCCTGGTTTAGTCCTGGTTTAGACCTGGTTTAGACCTGGTTTAGACCTGGTTTAGTACTGGTTTAGTCCTGGTTTAGACCTGGTTTAGACCTGGTTTAGTCCTGGTTTAAACCAACAACCAAACCAAAAACTAAGCGAACACAAAAGGAAGAGGACCAGGACTTGGACTAGACCAGGGACTAGACCGGTGTTTGGACTTGAGACTGGACCGGGGACTGGACCGGGGACTAGATTAGACCAAGGACTGGACCGGGGTTTAGACCGAGGACTGGACCAAGGACTGGACCGGGGTTTAGACCAGGGACTTGGACTGGACCAGGTCTGAGGAGCAGCTGGACGTTTAAAGAGACTTTTTTTTTTTTTTTCCTCATGTTTCAAAACGACACAAGTGAACGAGGGAACAGACGGAGAGAGAGAAAGAGAGAGAGAAGAATGACCCAGAGAACAACTGCAGAGAGAGAGAGAGAGAAAGAGAGAGAGAGAGAGAGAGAGAGAGAGAGAGAGAGAGAGAGAGAGAGAGAGAGAGAGAGAGAGAGAGAGAACGAGAGAAGAAGACAACTGGAGAGAGGAGAGAGAGAGAGAGAGAACAGAGGGAGGAGAGATGGGAAATGGGTCAAGAAAACAAGTCTGATCACAACGGAAGAGAAAAAGAGACAAGTGAACGAGGAAAAAGAAAAAGAGAGAAAAAGAAGGAGAGAGGGAGAAGAAAGAGAAAAAGGAAAAAGAAAGAGAAAAGAGAAAGAGAGCGTGCCCCACAGCAGCTGGACTAAACCAGGACTAAACCAGGACTAAACCAGGACTAAACCAGGACTGAACCAGGACTAAACCAGGACTGAACCAGGACTAAACCAGGACTAACCAGGACTAAACCAGGACTAAACCAGAAACTAAACCAGGGTCTGTTCTGGGTCTTGTTGTTTTCTCTTGTTTTGTGACACATTTTTCACTCAGTGATTCAGAGTCAGATGGTTCCACTTTTCCTCAGGACTAAAACTGGGACTAAAGTAGAGCTTATTTAGTCCTGACCAGTTTTAGTCCTGGTTCAGTCCAGTTTTAGTCCTGGTCTAGTCCTGGTCTAGTCCTGGTCCAGACTGGGAGCAGCTGCAGTTTCCTGTTGGACTCAGACCAAATAAAAAAATGGGGAATTCTCGTTCACTTCCTGTTTCTGCTGCAGCTGATTCCACAAGAAGAAGAACAGAGACAGAGACTCAGACCAGGACCAGACCAGGACCAGACCAGGACCAGACCCGGACCAGACCAGGACCAGACCAGGACCAGGATCCTGGTTTCAGTCCTGGTTCAGTCCTGGTTTAGTCCTGGTTCAGTTTTTAATTCTTTGCATGTTTATTTTTGAACATTTATTTGGATTCCTAAAATTCCCACAGAAAATAAAAATAAAAACTGAAATGTTTTTCACTAAATCAAAAAGAGAAAATAAAAGCAGGACCATAGAGTCTGAACATATATATATATATATAATATATATATGTATGTATATATATATTATATATATACACATATACACATGTACACAGACGTGTGGAGGGTCTGTCCAGGAGCACTTGATGACATCACAGGGTGGGGAGGTGCTGTAGTGTCTGTGTCCAGCAGAGGGCGCTGTGTCTCTGCTCTGAGGGTCACAACAACATCTGGGTCATATTTTTAGAGTTTTACTTATTTACTATTTCAGCACAAATATTTTAAAATTCAAACTCAAATTCAACATCAAAAAACTAAAGAGAGTAAAAAATTAAGATCAAAGATCCAAGATTGAACAAAAGTGACTCGTCTGAGTTTAAACTGAAGATAAACAAACTGAACCTGAGAAACTGAACAGACGAACTCAACGTGTGTATTAAATCTAACATATAGAGTATATATGTATATAACCTCACATGGACCATGTGTGTTTGTATATAAAATATATATAAAGTATTTTATATACTTTGTCTCACATGGACCATGTGTGTTTGTATATAAAATATATACAAAGTATTTTATATACTTTGTCTCACATGGATCAGGTGTGTTTGTATATATTTTATATATAAAGTATTTTATATACTTTGTTGTAGATGGATCATGTGTGTTTGTATATATTTTATATATAAAGTATTTTTTATATACTTTTGTTACATGGATCATGTGTGTTTGTATATATTTTATATAAAGTATTTTATATACTTTGTTGTAGATGGATCAGGTGTGTTTGTATATATTTTATATATAAAGTATTTTATATACTTTGTTGTAGATGGATCATGTGTGTTTGTATATATTTTATATATAAAGTATTTTATATACCTTGTTGTAGATGGATCATGTGTGTTTGTATATATTTTATATATAAAGTATTTTATATACCTTGTTGTAGATGGATCAGGTGTGTTTGTATATATTTTATATATAAAGTATTTTATATACTTTGTTGTAGATGGATCATGTGTGTTTGTATATATTTTATATATAAAGTATTTTATATACTTTGTTGTAGATGGATCAGGTGTGTTTGTATATATTTTATATATAAAGTATTTTATATACTTTGTTGTAGATGGATCAGGTGTGTTTGTATATATTTTATATATAAAGTATTTTATATACTTTGTTGTAGATGGATCAGGTGTGTTTGTATATATTTTATATATAAAGTATTTTTTATATACTTTGTTGTAGATGGATCAGGTGTGTTTGTATATATTTTATATATAAAGTATTTTTTATATACCTTGTTGTAGATGGATCAGGTGTGTTTGTATATATTTTATATATAAAGTATTTTATATACCTTGTTGTAGATGGATCAGGTGTCAGATGATGAGTTGGATCACGGCGCTGAGGAGGACAGTGATAAAGAAGATCAGGACCTGGACCAAATGTTTGGAGCCTGGCTCGGAGAACTCGACAAACTCACACAGGTACTACAAGTACTACTACAAGTACTGCTACAAGTACTGCTACAAGTACTACTAAAAGTACTGCTACAAGTACTACTACAAGTACTACTATTACTCAACTAACTCGACAAACTCACACAGGTACTACAAGTACTGCTACAAGTACTGCTACAAGTACTACTACTAGTACTACAAGTACTACTACTAGTACTACTACAAGTACTGCTACAAGTACTGCTACAAGTACTACTACAAGTACTACTACAAGTACTACTATTACTCAACTAACTCGACAAACTCACACAGGTACTACAAGTACTACTACAAGTACTGCTACAAGTACTGCTACAAGTACTACTATTACTCAACTAACTCGACAAACTCACACAGGTACTACAAGTACTGCTACAAGTACTGCTACAAGTACTACTACAAGTACTGCTACAAGTACTGCTACAAGTACTACTATTACTCAACTAACTCGACAAACTCACACAGGTACTACAAGTACTACTACAAGTACTGCTACAAGTACTACTACAAGTACTACTACAAGTACTACTACAAGTACTACTACAAGTACTGCTACAAGTACTACTACAAGTACTGCTACAAGTACTACTACAAGTACTACTATTACTCAACTAACTCGACAAGCTCACACAGGTACTACAAGTATTATAAGTACTACTATTACAAATACTACTACTATTATTGACACGAGTACTACTTGTTCTACTGCTATTATTGCTCCTCACACAGGTGTGAGTACTAACTACAGTATTGAAAGTATAAAAAGTACTACTACTTCATATACTTTGACACTACTGTGTTTGTTGTTCCTGCCAACGTAGTAAAAGTGTGAGGGAATAAAAACAAACGGTGTGATCAGTGTCTGGGGTTTCCACGGCAACCGTCACCGTGACGATCTGATTCCTGTTGCCAGGCAACAGTCCCCCCCCCGTCTCCAGTAGCAACCCCCCCCCCCCCCCCGTCCCTCCATCTGAGTGTGAAACAGAGGACAGACTAAAAATACCTCCAGGAAATCAACTCCAAACATTTATTTAACTATTTAACAATTTAAATCCACGACACCTCCTCCTCCTATTGGTCAGAACCTGAGTGAGTGACAGGAGCATCAGCCAATCACAGTGAACAGTGACAGGAGCATCAGCCAATCACAGTGAGCATCAGCCAATCACAGTGAAGTGACAGTCAGAGCATCAGGAGTGACAGGAGCATCAGCCAATCACAGTGAAGTGAGGAGCAGATGAGTTTAGGTTCTAAAATAAAGTAAATAAAACTGTGTGCAGAAGAACTGAAACTAAACCAGGACTCGACCCAGACTTGATCTGGATTTGACCTGGACTTTTGAACCTTTGACCTTGACCAGGACTTGAGTTGATGTTTGTTGTTGTTGTTTCAGAGTCTGGACGATGGTCGTCCTCAGAAGAGCGTCCAGAAACCTCCACTCAGACAAGAAACAAACATGGCCAACTTCAGCTACCGCTTCTCCATGTACAACATCAACGGTACAAACACCTACTATCTATATCTATATCTATATCTATATATATATATATATGTATATATGTGTGTGACTGATATTATATAACATCCTCTATAACCGCTTCTCCATGTACAACATCAACGGTACAAACACCTACTATCTATATCTATATCTATATCTATATATCTATATATATATATATATATATATATATATATATATATATATATATATATATATAGATATATATATGTGTGACTGATATTATATAACATCCTCTATAACCGCTTCTCCATGTACAACATCAACGGTACAAACACCTACTATCTATATCTATATCTATCTATCTATATATATTATATATATATATATATATATATATATATAGATATATATATATATAGATAGATAGATATATGTATGTGTGTGTGTGACTGATATTATATAACATCCTCTATAACCGCTTCTCCATATACAACATCAACGGTAACAATTATGTTTATATATATGTGACTTATATAACATCCTCTATAACATCTTCATATACAACATCAACATTACAACCGGGTCTGAACCGGGTCTGAACCGGGTCTGAACCGGGTCTGAACCGGGTGTGTCTTGCAGAGGCGTTGAACCAGGGCGAGTCCGTGGACCTGGACGCTCTCATGGCCGACCTCTGCTCCATGGAACAGGACCTGACCCCGTCCAGACCCGGATCAGGGGTCAAAGGTCAGACCAAAGGGCACCAGCAGAGGGCGCCGGCGATTCAGAGCAACGGAACCAGGAGCAACGCCGGAGGAGCGGGCAGCAGCGGAGGTACGGGACTGAACCGGGACTGGACCGAGACTGAACCAGAGACTGAACCAGGACTAAACCAGCTCCTCTGTGTCGCCCCCTGCAGGCAGTTCAAACAGCAGTACTCGTGCGTCCCCGGCGAGCTCGGTGCGTGGCCCCGCCTCTCGCCCCGCCCCCTCTGCGCTCTCATTGGACGAGATCACTGCTCGTCTGGACCAGGCGTCGGCGAGTATGGACCAGGCGGCGCGAGACTCCTCCTCCTCCTCCGGCTCCTCCTCTTCCTCCGGCTCAGGCCCCGCCCCCTCCGCCGGCCCCGCCCCCCCGGAGGCCGTCGGCGGCGTCGTCCACGTGCGGCGGGGAGGGGCGAGTGGGGGAGGGGCTTCCCGCGGGCGGCGCTGTGGACTCGGAGCGACAGAACGCGGGACAGAACCAGAGCGAGGTGAGACATGACACTTTAAACTCTGCTCCTCTTTAAAGCTGCACTCTGGAACTTTTCTGGAGGGTCTGACACCTGCTGGTTTCCATGGAGATGCCTCTGGTGTGCCGGGAATTCTCCACAGTACAGCATTAAACTTATCTATCTAGTGTTGCCGTGGTAACAAAATAAAAACCCTCTTTGTTTAGAGAATCTCCAGATTCAATGGTGGAACTTTATTTTCTCTTTTTTTATATTTTACTTTTTTCATTGTTTTTGAAAAAATAAACTCTGGTAAAACAAAACATGGAACACGACTCACAGAGTGAAGAAATTCAAATTAAAGTTGAAATAATGTTCCATCACGTCAGGTCCCGTTTAGTCCAACGTTTGGTCCATTTTCAAATTAAATCCAAACTTTATTTTCTCAAATTTTTTGAATTTTGTTTATAATTTTGTATAATTGTTTAGTTTTAGAATTAGTCCTGGTCCAGTCCTGGTTTAGTCCTGGTTTAGTCCTGGTCCAGTCCTGGTTTAGTCCTGGTCCTGGTTCAGTCCTGGTTCAGTCCTGGTTCAGTCCTGGTTTAGTCCTGGTTTAGTCCTGGTTTAGTCCTGGTTTAGTCCTGGTTTAGTCCTGGTTCAGTCCTGGTTCAGTCCTGGTTTAGTCCTGGTTTAGTCCTGGTTTAGTCCTGTTTGATCTTGTTTCCATGGAGATAAACATATTTAATGCCGCACTGTGGGATGTTTCAGGCACAGCTCCAGCGTCTCCGTGGAGACGGGGCAGGTCTTCTCAGATGTTCCACAGTGGAGCTTTTTTCACATGTTGTTTGTAAATGTTTGTGTGGAAGGGCATCTGACGTAAATCTGTCTGACCCAGAACAAATCCGCCCGACGACAGCTCCACTTCACACCAGCAGGGGGCGACAGCGACAGGGCTGTAGTAAGTCACAGAGACCCGGTCTAGACCCGGTCTAGACCTGGGTTAGACCTGGTTTAGTCCCAGGAATAGACCTGGTTTAGACCTGGTTTAGTCCTGGTTTAGTTCTGGACGTTTGTGGTTAGATCAGTGAAAATTACAAAATCTAAATAAATGTTTAATTTTTTCAGTAAATTTTAACTTTTGATCCAAATTTCATAAAACTTTGAGACACAAAAGTGGAAGAAAAATTTTGAACAATTTTGGTTTAGTCCTGGTTTAGTCCTGGTTTAGTCCTGGTTTAGTCCTGGTTTAGTTCTGGTTTAGTCCTAGTTTAGTTCTGGTTTAGTCCTGGTTTAGTCCTGGTTTAGTTTTGGTTTAGTTCTGGTTTAGTCCTGGTTTAGTCCTGGTTTAGTCCTGGTTTAGTTCTGGTTTAGTCCTGGTTTAGTCCTGGTTTAGTCCTGGTTCATGTTGATTTCAAAGTGTCTCAGATTTTGTGAAATTTGGTGAAATAATTCTTGTTTTTGTAGAAGTTAAATTTTTGTCTGTAACATGAAACTAAATAAAAAATGGTTTGTTTGTTGTGTCAGTTTTAAAAGTGTCTCGTCTTCCTCCTCGTCTTCGTCTTCGTCTTCGTCTTCGTCTTCGTCTTCGTCCTCGTCCTTCGTGTCTTTACCTCTGGTCCACAGCTGCAGCTCCAGTCACACGTGTCTCTTTAACAAATCTGATTAAAAATGTTTAATTCTGTGTAAAATAATTCACTTCACAGTTTTATTTTCTCACATCATTTTATATTTTTATATTTAATATTTGTGTTTTTTGCAGCATTCGTATCTGGACCGAGAAACGTCGCTGATCCTGAAAAACATCGCAGGAAAACCAACACATCTACTCACCAAGGTGAGACCTGAAGTAGACCTGAAGTAGACCTGGTTTAGTCCTGGTTTTAGACCTGAAGTAGTCCTGGTTTAGTCCTGGTTTAGTCCTGGTTTAGTCCTGGGTTTAGTCTTGGGTTTAGTCCTGAAGTAGTCCTCGTTAAAACCTAGTAGGTCCAGGTTTAGTCCCGAGTTTAGTCCTGAGTTTAGTCCTGAAGAAATCCTGGTTAAAATCTAGTATAAGGTCCAGGTTTAGTCCAGTTTTAGTCCAGTTTTAGTCCAGTTTTAGTCCTGGTTTAGTCCTGGTTTAGATCTGGTTTTGACACTGGTTTAGTCTTGAAGAAATCCTGATTAAAATCTTGTACAAGGTCCAGGTTTTGTCCCATTTTAGTCCTGGGTTAGTCCTGGTTCTGGTTCTGGTTTCCTTATTTTAGTCCTGGTCCAGTCCTGGTCCAGTCCTGGTCCAGTCCTGGTCCAGTGTTTTTGTCGATTCTTCTGGACGTGTTTAAACTTTGAATCTTTTTATTAAAACAAAAATCCCAAATATTTCCCCTGGGATCGTTCCGTCTCCTCAAACAAAAGTTCCGCAGTGCAGCTTTAACGCTCCTCAGTTCCCTTCGTTCCTGATCCGGCACATTCCTCTGTCTGATCCCGGGTCACGCTTCTCCCATCGACCCACATTTTTCTTTCACCTTTTGGACTTTTTTTTTTTTTTTCTTGGATTAACGTGATTTAAAAGGATGGAGGCGCGTGAGGATCGAGGCTTGTGCCAAATCGGAAAATCGGGCAAACGGGAAAGGGTGAAGTGTGTTTGTGTTTTTGGGGGAGGGTCGGAGTGAAGCGCCGCAGACTCTTCGCTCGTCGCCGTTCACGTCCACAAAAAAACGCCGCCTCGGTTCAGATTTAATCCCACGTTTTCCTCTCGCAGACCTGCACCTGACGGAAAAGAGGGATTTTATTTTTGTGTTTTTTGTGTTTTTTGTTTTTGGGAACGCGGCGTCTTTGTTCCGGTTTTGTTCCTGGTTTTGTCCTGGTTTTGTCCGGTTTTGTCCTGGTTTTGTCAGATCAAAGACGTGGGACGCGGTCGAGTCGAGTCGCAGACGCAGAGACGGAATCATCAGGAAAATTTATGGATTAAAAACTGAAATTTGACCAAAAAAATTAGGACAAAATGATGATGCCGTGTTGGAAAAGAAAAGTAAGAACAACACTGGAAATACTACGACAAATACTACAAATACTACAAATACTACTACAAATACTACTACTACTACTACTGCTGCTGCTACTACAAATACTACTACGACTAATACTACAAATACTACAAATACTACTACTGCTGCTGCTTCTACAAATACTGCCACTACTACTGCTACTACTACTACTACTACTACTACTACTACTACTACTACTACTACTACTACTACTGGTACTACTACTACTACTGGTACTACTACTACTACTACTACTACTACTACTACTACTACTACTACTAGGTACTACTACTACTACTACTACTACTACTACTACTACTACTACTACTGGTACTACTACTACTACTGCTACTACTACTACTGGTACTACTACTACTACTACTACTACTACTACTACTACTACTACTACTACTACTACTACTACTACTACTACTACTACTACTACTACTACTTACTACTACTACTACTACTACTACTACTACTACTACTACTACTACTACTGGTACTACTACTACTACTGGTACTACTACTACTACTGCTACTACTACTACTACTACTACTACTACTACTACTACTACTACTACTACTACTACTACTACTACTACTACTACTGGTACTACTACTACTACTGGTACTACTACTACTACTACTACTACTACTACTACTACTACTACTACTACTACTACTACTATACTACTACTACTACTACTACTACTACTACTACTACTACTACTACTACTACTACTACTACTACTACTACTACTACTGGTACTACTACTACTACTGCTACTACTACTACTACTACTACTACTACTACTACTACTACTACTACTACTACTACTACTACTACTACTACTACTACTACTACTACTGCTACTACTGGTACTACTACTACTACTACTACTACTACTACTACTACTACTACTACTACTACTACTACTACTACTACTACTACTACTACTACTACTACTACTACTACTACTACTACTTACTACTACTACTACTGTACTACTACTACTACTACTACTACTGGTACTACTACTACTACTACTACTACTACTACTACTACTACTACTACTACTACTACTACTACTACTACTGCTACTACTACTACTACTACTGCTACTACTACTACTACTACTACTACTACTACTACTACTACTACTACTACTACTACTACTACTACTACTACTACTACTACTACTACTACTACTACTGTACTACTACTACTACTGCTACTACTCTACTACTACTACTACTACTACTACTACTACTACTACTGTTACTACTGGTACTACTGCTACTACTACTACTACTACTACTACTACTACTACTACTACTACTACTACTACTACTACTAGTAGTACTGCTACTACTACAAATACCACTACAAATACTACTATTACTACTGCTGCTGCTGTTGATATTACTAATATTACTAGAAATACTACTGTAAATTCTACTACTACTACTACTGCTACTACTACTACTACTACTACTACTACTACTACTACTACTACTACTAATATTACTACTAATACTACTCTAAATACTGCTTCTACTGCAAATGCTACTATTACTACTGTAACTACTACAACTGCTAATACTCCTGCTACTCCTAATACTACTATAAATACTACTATAAATATTTCTACTACTGATGACGTTTGTAGATTTAAAAGTTAAAGTTACAATCATGATGTGATTTGTGATTCTGTTTTTCACACATTTGTGGTTTTGTTGTTTTTGGAGGAAATGAAGATTTAAAATTTGAATTGAGACAATTTGTCTCGTTAATAAACGTATAAACACTTCATATATTTAATAAAACCTCTGTCCTGTGGTTTTATTTGTTTGTTATATTTGAATTAAATGTATTTGTGTGTTTGTGTTTCAGGAGGAGCAGGCGGCCAAACTAAAAGCCGAGAAGATCCGAGTCGCTCTGGAAAAAATCAAAGAGGCTCAAGTCAAAAAGGTAAAAATCAACTTGAAAATATTTCACTTTTAGTCCTGGTTTAGTTCCTGGTTTAGTCTTGGTTTAGTCCTGGTTTAGTCCTGGTTTAGTCCTGGTTTAGTTCCTGGTTTAGTCTTGGTTTAGTCCTGGTTTAGTCCTGGTTTAGTCCTGGTTTAGTCCTGGTTTAATCCTGGTTTAGTCCTGGTTTAGTCCTGGTTTAGTCCTGGTTTAGTCTTGGTTTAGTTCCTGGTTTAGTTCCTGGTTTAGTCCTGGTTTAGTCTTGGTTTAGTCTTGGTTTAGTCTTGGTTTAGTCCTGGTTTAGTCCTGGTTTAGTTCCTGGTTTAGTCCTGGTTTAGTTCCTGGTTTAGTTCCTGGTTTAGTTCCTGGTTTAGTCCTGGTTTAGTCCTGTTTAGTCCTGGTTTAGTCCTGGTTTAGTCTGGTTTAGTTCCTGGTTTAGTCTTGGTTTAGTTCCTGGTTTAGTCTTGGTTTAGTTCCTGGTTTAGTTCTGGTTTAGTCCTGGTTTAGTCTTGGTTTAGTTCCTGGTTTAGTTCCTGGTTTAGTCCTGGTTTAGTTCCTGGTTTAGTTCCTGGTTTAGTCCTGGTTTAGTTCCTGGTTTAGTTCCTGGTTTAGTCCTGGTTTAGTTCCTGGTTTAGTCTTGGTTTAGTTCCTGGTTTAGTCCTGGTTTAGTCCTGGTTTAGTCCTGGTTTCTGGTCTTTTTTCTTGTTTGAGTAAAAGTAGGTCAGTGCAGTGTGGACAGTGACAGACAGGGGGCAGCAGAGCACAGGCGACCGTTTGATCTGAGACACAGAAAAGAACTGAACCAGGACTAACAGGGGACTCAACAAACACTAGTCCTGGTTTAGTTCTACATTTAGTCCTGGTTTAGTCCTGTTTGAGTCCTGGTTGAGTTCCGTGTGTAAAGCCGGACTCACGTTTGGGCAGATTAGCCTCGATCTGAAATAATCCTGAGACTTTAAATCTTTTACAAACAAGAAAAACAAGAAACGTGACCAAGAAACAAGACTAATCCAACAACCTGACACACACTGAGGGACCTGACACACACACTGAGGGACCTGACACACACACTGAGGGGGACCTGACACTGACACACGAGGAGGGACCTGACACACACGGAGGGACCTGACACACACTGACACACACGGAGGGACCTGACACACACGGAGGGACCTGACACACACACAGGGACCTGACACACAGGAGGGACCTGACACACACACACACTGACACACAGGGGGACCTGACACACACACGGAGGGACCTGACACACACACTGAGGGACCTGACACACACACCTGACACACAGGAGGACCTGACACACACACGGAGGGACCTGACACACACACGGAGGGACCTGACACACACACCCTGACACACACGGGAGGGACCTTGACACACACACGGGGAGGGACCTGACACACACACGGGGGACCTGACACACACACGGGACCTGACACACACTGACACACACACGGAGGGACCTGACACACACACGGAGGGACCTGACACACACGGAGGGACCTGACACACACACGACACACACACGGGGGACCTGACACACACGGAGGGACCTGACACACACACGGGGGACCTGGGACCTGACACACACGGAGGGACCTGACACAGGACCTGACACACACACGGAGGGACCTGACACACACAGGAGGGACCTGACACACACGGGGGAGACACACACGGAGGGACCTGACACACACAGGGGACCTGGGACCTGACACACACACGGAGGGACCTGACACACACACGGAGGGACCTGACACACACACGGAGGGACCTGACACACACACACACACACACGGAGGGACCTGACACACACACGGAGGGACCTGACACACACGGAGGGACCTGACACACACACGGAGGGACCTGACACACACGGAGGGACCTGACACACACGAGGACCTGACACACACACGGAGGACCTGACGGACCTGACACACACGGGGGACCTGGGACCTGACACACACGGGGAGGGACCTGACACACACGGGGGACCTGACACACACGAGGGACCTGGGACCTGACACACACACGAGGAGGGACCTGGCACACACATGGAGGGACCTGACACACACACGGGGAGGGACCTGACACACACAGGGAGGGACCTGACACACACACGAGGAGGGACCTGACACACCAGGTTTTTATTTAGTACAAGTTTAGTTCTTGCTGTTGTCCCATGGTCTAAACCAGGTCTAAACCAGGTCTAAACCAGGTCTAAACCAGGTCTAAACCAGGTCTAAACCAGGTCTATCCTCGTTTCTGTCCCCCGGTCTAACCCCGGTCTAACCCCGGTCTCGGTCCCCGGTCTCGGTCCGTCCCTGGTCTCGGTCTGTCCCGGTCTCGGTCTCGGTCTCGGTCTCGGTCTCGGTCTGGTCTCGGTCTGGTCTCGGTCTCTCGGTCTCGGTCTCGGTCTCGGTCTGGTCTCCTGGTCTCCTGGTCTCGGTCTCGGTCTCGGTCTCGGTCTCGGTCTCGGTCTTGGTCTCGGTCTAACCCCGGTCTTTGTCCCGGTCTTTGTCCCGGTCTTTGTCCCGGTCTTTGTCCCGGTCTTTGTGCAGCTCGTGATCCGCGTCCACATGTCTGATGAAAGTTCCAAGACGATGATGGTGGACGAGCGGCAGACGGTTCGACAGGTCCTGGACTCGCTCCTCGACAAATCCCACTGCGGATACTCGCCCGACTGGAGCCTCGTGGAGACGCTGTCCGAGCTACGCATGGGTCAGTACTACAAATACTACTACTACTACTACTACTACTACTACTACTACTACTACTACTACAAACACAAATACTACAAATAATACTACTACTACATATACTCGCCCGACTGGAGCCTCGTGGAGACGCTGTCCGAGCTACGCATGGGTCAGTACTACAAATACTACAAATAACTACTACTACTACTACTACAAATACTACTACTACTACTACAACAAATACAAATACAAATACTACAAATACTTTTCCTGCTGTCACACTGTTCTGTGGAGGCGTCTGGTCTGAGCTCCAGATGTTCAGATGTTTTTTTTCCTGATGTTCTAAACGTTCTGTTGTGTGTTTTGGGATGTTCATGTTTAAATTCTTCTTCTCTTTTCTTCTGTTTGTTTGTTTGTTTGTTTGTTTGTTTGTTTGTTTTTCAGAGAGGATTTTTGAGGATCACGAGAACCTGGTGGAAAACCTCCTGAACTGGACCAGAGACAGTCACAACAAACTCATGTTTATAGAACGAATCGAGAAGTACGCGCTCTTCAAAAACCCACAGGTACAAACCAAATAAAACACTGTACCTGTACTCAAGTACAAATAATATACACATGAAACACAGAGAAGTGCGCCCCCTGCAGGAGCACACGGTACAACACCACAAACCTGGAGATTTATGAAAACTATTATAAGACGCTTCGAAAACATTGAGCCAAAAACATTTGGCTTTGGAACAAGTGTCTCTGCATCTGCAGCTCTGCAGCTCAGGTCCGAGTCCCGCTCCGGGTCGGGTCCGAGTCCCGCTCCGGGTCGGGTCCGAGTCCCGCTCCGGGTCGGGTCCGAGTCCGGCTCGAGTCAGGAGCACAGGGAGCAGGTTTTCTCAAAGCTCCATCAGGTGGCGGCTGCACTTACCTCCATGTGGAGCTGCTCCTGTCCTTTCACCTGCCGTCACCTGACGGACTTTGCAGGCGCAGCTTAGTCCTGGGTCGGTCCTGGGTCGGTCCTGGGTCGGTCCTGGGTCGGTCCTGGGTCGGTCCTGGGTCGGTCCTGGGTCATCACGGGCGGTAACAAGTGGAATGTTAACAGGTCTGGTCGGGTGCAGGTCTCATGGCAGAGTCCTGGTTTAGTCCTGGTTTAGTCCTGGTTTAGTTCTGGTTTAGTCCTGGTTTAGTCCTGGTTTAGTCCTGGTTTAGTCCTGGTTTAGTCCTGGTTTAGTCTGGTTTAGTCCTGGTTTAGTCCTGGTTTAGTCTGGTTTAGTCCTGTTTTAGTCCTGGTTTAGTCTGGTTTAGTCCTGGTTTAGTCTGGTTTAGTTCTGGTTTAGTCTGGTTTAGTCCTGGTTTAGTCCTGGTTTTAGTCCTGGTTTTGTCTGGTTTAGTCTGGTTTAGTCCTGGTTAGTCCTGGTTTAGTCTGGTTTAGTCCTGGTTTAGTTCTGGTTTAGTCCTGGTTTAGTCCTTTTAGTCCTGGTTTAGTCCTGGTTTAGTCCTGGTTTAGTCCTGGTTTTAGTCCTGGTTTAGTCCTGGTTTAGTCCTGGTTTAGTCCTGGTTTGTGCAGTATTTTGGTTCTGGTTTTCTTGTTTGTGGTTAAATTCTGTTTCTCTCCGTCTGATTTAGTTTTAGTTGAATCTTTATTTAGACCTGGTTTATGTCTGATTCAGAAAACCCACTTCAGTCCAAGGACCTGAACCAGGACTAAACCTTGACCCGGGACTAAACCAGGACTAAACCGAGGACCTAAACTAGACTAAACCGGAACTACTTTCTCTTTGCAGAACTACTTTTTGGGGCGGAAGGAGGCGACTGAAATGGCCGACAGGAACAAAGAGGCTCTTCTGGAGGTGACGCTTCACAACATTTCATCATTTTAACATTTATTTCTAAACATTTCAAGTCTTGTTTGTTGTAAAATGTTTTTTGTTTTTTGGTTTTGTTTCTTCAGGAGTGTTTCTGCAGTGGGACGGTGATGGTTCCTGAGATGGAGGGCGTCCTGTGGCTCAAAGAGGACGGAAAAAAGTCCTGGAAGAAAAGATACTTCCTGCTCCGAGCTTCCGGAATCTACTACGTCCCCAAGGGAAAAGCCAAGGTCCTAATCTCCTCCTCCTCTTCTCCTCCTCTTCTCCTCTCTCCTCCTCTCTCTCTCTCTCTCCTCTCTCTCTCTCTCTCTCTCCCTCTCTCCTCTCCTCTCCTCTCTCTCCTCTCTCTCTCTCCTCCTCCTCTCTCCTCCTCCTCTCCTCTCCTCCTCCTCCTCTTCCTCCTCCTCCTCCTCTCCTCCTCTCCTCTCTCCTCTCCTCTCTCTCTTCTCCTCCTCTCTTCTCCTCCTCTCTCTCTCCTCTCTCCTCTCCTCTCCTCTCTCTCCTCTCTCTCCTCTCTCCTCTCTCCTCTCCTCCTCCTCCTCTCCTCCTCTCTCCTCTCCTCTCTCCTCCTCCTCCTCCTCCTCTCTCTCTCTCCTCCTCCTCTCTCCTCTCTCCTCTCTCCTCCTCCTCTCCTCTCCTCTCCTCTCTTCTCCTCCTCTCTCTCCTCTCTCTCTTCTCTCCTCCTCTCTCTTCTCTCCTCTCCTCCTCTCTCCTCTCCTCTCCTCTCCTCTCTCTCCTCTTCTCCTCTCTTCTCCTCTTCTCCTCTCTCTCTCTCTCCTCCTCTCTCCTCTTCTCCTCTCTCCTCTTCTCCTCTCTCCTCTTCTCTCTCCTTCTCCTCCTCTCTCTCTCCTCTCTCTTTCTGTTTCTTCTGATCTCTCTTCTCTCTCTTCTCCTCCTCTATCTCTCCTCTTCTCCTCTTCTGATCCTCCTCTTCTTCCTCTCCTCCTCTACTCCTCCTCTTCCTCCTCCTTTTCTCCTCTAACCTTCTCCTCTGCTCCATCTTCTCCTCCTCTGACCTTCTGTTCTTCTCCTCTCATCTTCTCTTCTCCTCCTCTGCTCCTTTGCTCCTCCTCATCTCCTCCTTCTTCTCCTTTCTGTTCTTCTCCTCCTCTGACCTTCTGTTCTTCTTCTTCTTCTTCTTGTTTCCAGGCGTCTCGGGACCTGGTTTGTTTTCTTCAGTTGGATCATGTAAATGTTTATTATGGTCAAGATTATCGCTGCAAGTACAAAGCTCCGACCGACTACTGCCTCGTCCTCAAGGTACAACTTCACCCCTCAAAACAACGTTCTACTTTATATAAACCAAACTGTGACAAACAAGTCCCACTTTCAAAGTGTTTACAAAGTCTCTTCTTCATGTTGGTTAAACACAAATGTGGTGTAGAACTTTACATCGGCCTTGGTCTTGAGACCGTTTTTTACAGTCTTGGTCTCGTCTTGGACTTGAACATGTTTGGACTCGGTCTGATACTTGACATGTGAAAAAATGAAGATTTTATACAAAAAATATATGTAAATGTGCCAAAATAACTGTAAAATACAAATAAATGTGGAAATTTACAAAGATGGTCTCGATTTGGTCTCGATTTGGTCTCGATGGGTCATGGCCTTGGCCTCGTCTCGACCTTTAAAAGTCTTGGTCTTTTCTAGACCCACAGAGGTCTTGGTCTTGTTCTGGTCTTGTCCTGGCCTTGACCTTTTAAAAGTCTCGGTCTTGGTCTTGGTCTTTAAAAGTCTCGGTCTTGGTCTTGGTCTTTCAAGAACCCTGGTCTCGGTCTGGTCTTGGTCTGGATTATTGTGCTCTTAAATACAACAGAAATGCTGCAAAGGCTCATGGGTCTTGTAGTTCGTTTAGTTTGATTTTAGATTTAGTTTAAAAAGTCTCTGTAACGTTGTGTGTTTTGTTTTTTGCAGCATCCTCAGATCCAGAAAAAGTCCCAGTACATAAAGTATCTTTGCTGTGACGACGTCCGGACTCTGCACCAGTGGGTCAACGGGATCCGAATCGCCAAGTACGGACGCCAACTCTACGCCAACTACCAGGAGGCCATGAAGAGGACGGAGGCGGCCTACGACTGGTCCTCGCTCTCCAACAGCCTGCGCTCCGGCTCCAGCTGCAACAGCATCCCAGGTCTGGACCCGGACCAAGAGACCGAGACACGGGACCGGGACAGAGACCGGGACCGAGACCGGGACCGAGACCGGGACCGAGAGACCGGACCGAGACAGAGACCGGGACCGAGACCGGGACCGAGAACCGGACAGAGACCGCGACAGAGACCGCGACAGAGACGGGGACCGACCGAGACAGAGACCGGGACAGAGACCGGGACCGAGACAGGACAGAGACCGCGACAGAGACCGACAGAGGCCGGGACAGAGACCGGGACCGGAGACCGGACCGGACCGAGACCGGACCGAGACCGCGACAGAGACCGGGGACAGAGACCGGGACAGAGACCGGGACAGAGACCGGGACCGAGACAGAGACAGAGACCGCGACAGAGACCGCGACAGAGACCCGACAGAGACCGCGACAGAGACCGCGACAGAGACGGACCGAGACCGGGACCGAGACCGCGACAAGAAACCGGGACAGAGACCGGGACAGAGACCGGGACAGAGACCGGGACCGAGACAGAGACAGAGACCGCGACAGAGACCGCGACAGAGACCGCGACAGAGACCGCGACGACGAGAGACCGCCGGACCGAGACCGGGACCGAGACCGGGACAGAGACCGAGACAGAGACCGGGACAGCGACAGAGACCGGGACAGAGACCGGGACAGAGACCGGGACAGAGACCGAGACAGAGACCGAGACAGAGACCGAGACAGAGACCGCGACAGAGACCGCGACAGAGACCGGGACGGAGACCGGGACGAGACCGGGACAGAGACCGGGACAAGAGACCGGGACAGAGGACGGACAGAGACCGGGACAGAGACCGGGACAGAGACCGGACAGACAGAGACCGGGACAGAGACCGGGAGAGACCCGGGACAGAGACCGAGAGAGACCGGACTGAGAACCGGACAGAGACCGAGACTGAGACCGCGACAGAGACCGCGACAGAGACCGCGACAAGAGACCGCACAGGAGACCGGACAGAGACCGCGACAGAGACCGAGACTGACCGAGACTGAGACCGAGAGACCGCGACAGAGACCGCGACAGAGACCGGGACAGAGACCGCGACAGAGACCGACAGAGACTGAGACCGAGACTGAGACTGAGACCGCGACAGAGACCGCGACAGAGACCGCGACAGAGACCGCGACAGAGACCGCGACAGAGACCGCGACAGAGACCGAGACTGAGACCGAGACTGAGACCGAGACTGAGACGAGACCGCGACAGAACCGCGACAGAGACCGCGACAGAGACCGCGACAGAGACCGCGGAGACAGAGACGAGACTGAGACCTGAGACCGAGAGACTGAGACCGACAGACCGCGACAGAGACCGACAGAGACCGAGACCGCCGACAGAGACCGAGACTGAGACCGAGACTGAGACCGAGACTGAGACCGAGACTGAGAGGACGAGACCGCGACAGAGACCGGGACAGAGACCGAGACTGAGACCGCGACAGAGACCGCGACAGAGACCGCGACAGAGACCGCGACAGAGACCGGGACAGAGACCGGGACTAAAGCAGGACCAGGACCAAACCAGGACTAGACCAGAGAAAATAGAAATTGAAAACTAGAAACTGGGACTAAAATAGAGACTGAACCAGGACTGAACCAGGACTAAACCAGGACTGAACCAGGACTGAACCAGGACTGAACCAGGACTGAACCAGGACTGAACCAGGACTGAACCAGGTCTAAAATGTCTTGTGTTTGACCTGGTGTGTGCAGAGTCTCAGTCGAGTCACTCGGGGGACAGCGGTGTGGACTCGGGTTCTTCTCACGGTCGATCTCAGAGTGTGGTCAGCTCCATCTTCTCTGAGGCCTGGAAGAGAGGAACACAGATCGAGGAAAACACCAAGGTACAAAAGTTCCACACTGCAGCTTTAACTTCACTCACTGTGAAAAAGAGAAAAGGAAACTGACTTTTATTTATTTTTAAATAACAATTGGATTTGTTCACACTAGTGTGTATGTGAGTGTTGTTGTGTGTATAGTGTTTGTTCACACTAGTGTGTATGTGAGTGTTGTTGTGTGTATAGTGTTTGTTCACACTAGTGTGTAGTGGTGTGTGTATGTGAGTGTTGTTGTGTGTATAGTGTTTGTTCACACTAGTGTGTATGTGAGTGTTGTTGTGTGTATAGTGTTTGTTCACACTAGTGTGTATGTGAGTGTTGTTGTGTGTATAGTGTTGTTCACACTAGTGTGTGTGTGAGTGTTGTTGTGTGTATAGTGTTTGTTCACACTAGTGTGTATGTGAGTGTTGTTGTGTGTATAGTGTTTGTTCACACTAGTGTGTATGTGAGTGTTGTTGTGTGTATAGTGTTTGTTCACACTAGTGTGTATGTGAGTGTGTGTTGTGTGTATAGTGTTTGTTCACACTAGTGTGTATGTGAGTGTTGTTGTGTGTATAGTGTTTGTTCACACTAGTGTGTATGTGAGTGTTGTTGTGTGTATAGTGTTTGTTCACACTAGTGTGTGTGAGTGGTGTTGTGTGTATAGTGTTTGTTCACACTAGTGTATGTGTGTGTGTGTTGTGTGTGTATAGTGTGTTTGTGTCACACTAGTGTGTTGTGAGTGGTGTGTGTGTATAGTGTTTGTTCACACTAGTGTGTATGTGAGTGGTGTTGTTGTGTGTATAGTGTTTGTTCACACTAGTGTGTATGTGAGTGTTGTTTGTTGTGTATAGTGTTTGTCACACTAGTGTGTATGTGAGTGGTGTTGTGTGTGTATGTGTTATAGTGTGTGTGTGTTGTTGTTGTGTGTATAGTGTTGTTCACACTAGTGTGTATGTGAGTGTTGTTGTGTGTATAGTGTTTGTTCACACTAGTGTGTATGTGAGTGTTGTTGTGTGTATAGTGTTTGTTCACACTAGTGTGTATGTGAGTGTTTGTGTGTGTGTAGTGTTTGTTCACACTAGTGTGTATGTGAGTGGTGTTGTTGTGTGTGTGTTGTTCACACTAGTGTGTATGTGAGTGTGTTGTGTGTACACTGTGTGTATGTGTGTGTGTGTGTGCACACTAGTGTGTATGTGTGTGTTGTGTGTGTGTGTATGTGTGTGTGTTCACACTAGTGTGTGTGGTGTGTTGTTGTGTGTTTGTGTGTGTGTGTGTGTACTAGTGTGTATGTGAGTGTGTGTTGTGTGTATAGTGTGTTCACACTAGTGTGTGTGTGTATGTGTGTTGTTGTGTGTATAGTGTGTGTGTGTTGTGTGTGTGGTGTGTGATAGTGTGTTGTGAGTGTGTGTTGTGTGTATGTGTGTTCACACTAGTGTGTATGTGAGTGGTGTTGTTGTGTGTATAGTGTTTGTTCACACTAGTGTGTATGTGAGTGGTGTTGTGTGTATAGTGTTTGTTCACACTAGTGTTGTGTGTGAGTGTTGTGTGTGTGTGTGTTGCACACTAGTGTGTATGTGAGTGTTGTTGTGTGTATAGTGTGTGTGTACACTAGTGTGTGGTGTGATGGTGTTGTGTGTGTGTGTTGTGTTCACACTAGTGTGTGTGTGTGTGTGTGTGTGTTAGTGTTGTGTCTGTACACTAGTGTGTATGTGAGTCCAGATGTGATGGAGACTGTGTGAAAACTCTGATCCTCTGATGTGTGTCTGTCACCGCCGACTCATTCACCACAAAACACTGAGACACACAATATGTGTCTGTTCACATAAACGTGTGTGTGTGTGTGTGTTTGTGTGTGTGTGTGTGTGTGTGTGTGTGTGTGTGTGTGTTGTGTGTGTGTGTGTGTGTTTGTGTGTGTGTGTGTGTGTGTGTGTGTGTGTGTGTGTGTGTGTGTGTGTGTGTGTGTGTGTGTGTGTGTGTGTGTGTGTGTGTGTGTGTGTGTGTGTGTGTGTGTGTGTGTTGTGTGTGTGTGTGTGTGTGTGTGTGTGTGTGTGTGTGTGTGTGTGTGTGTGTAAAAAGTTGAACCAAAACGTGTTTGTGTTTTGTGTTTTGCAGCAGATGAGGATGGAAGCAGCTCGAGCGGCGACTCTTCCTCACGGACACAAACACCACAGCCAACACTCTGTGGACCTGCCCCCCCCTGCCCCCCTGCCCCCCCAGAACCTGCCCCCCAGAACCTGCCCCCCCAGAACCTGCCCCCCAGAAACCTGCCCCCCCCAGAACCTGCCCCCCAGAACCTGCCCCCCCAGAACCTGCCCCAGAACGCCCAGCCCCCTCCACAGCTGCAGAATCTTCCCCAAGCTCCTGCTCCTCATCCTCAAAACCTGCCCCAAAATTTACCCCAACCGCCCCCACCACAGGCCCAACACCTGCCCACAACCTGCCCACACAACCTGCCCCACAACCTGCCCACAACCTGCCCCACAACCTGCCCCAAACACCTGCCCCAACACCTGCCCCAAACACCTGCCCCACAAACAACCTGCCCCACAAACCCCAGAGCCCCGCCCACTCTCCGCCCTCGTCCGGCTCCAGCGCGGCGCCTCCTCCCTCCTTCCCTCCTCCTCCCTCGTCTCCTCCGTCCTCGTCTCCTCCGCTCCGTCAGCCCGTCATCCACTTCCCGCCGCCGCCCGACTCCGCCCTCGACCCCGCCCCTTTGCCGCCGTCTCCGCTGGCGCCCGCCGAGTGCCCGATCCCGCCCACGCCGCCGGGTCACTCCGCCCAGACCGTCCCCAACCCGCCATCGCCCGTCACGCCCGACGTCCCGCCCATTTCCCCTCCCGCCGCGGCAAGCCCCCGCCCCGCCCCCGACCCCGCCGCTCCCCGTCGAACACCTCCCCCCGCCGCCCCCTCCCCCACCCCGCCGCCTCCCCCCGCCGCCGCCGCCGCCCATCCAGAGCGTCTCCGCCCACACCGCCGCCTTAAACATGTACAAGTTCAGCACCATCACCCGCCTCCAGAACCAGAACAACCAGAACATCCAGGCCGGCAGCAGCAGCAGGGGGTCCCGACTCCGCCCCCTCCGCCTCCTCCCCCGCCGGCGCCGCCCGCCGTCGTCAAACCGGTCAACCACATCGCCGCCAGGACCAACGTGCCGCCGCCGCCGCTCCCGCCGCCGCTCCCTCCGCCTCAGTTCAGACCCATGCCCGGTTCTGCCATGGCCAAACTTTCCCATTCCGCCTTTTTCCCGATGGCGGCCGCTTCCAACGCCTTCCCGGCCCCGCCCCCTCCGCCGCCGCCGCCTCCTCCATCGTTTTCGGGCGGCGGTTTGATGCACACGCCGTACGCCAACGGGATCAAGCAGGCGTTGAAGGAGCGGTTTCCCAGTCCCCCGCGGGAGCTGTTGGCAGCGAGCGCCAGTTTAGACGCGTCGACTCCGCCGCACAAGCCCCGCCCCATCTGCCCCCGCCTCCCCCGCCGCCGCCGCCCCCCCCCTCCCCCTCCGCAGCAGCATAAATCCGCCCCCTCTCACCCGTTTCCCTTCGCCAGTCAGACGTCGTCCAGTTTCCCGCCGCCTCCTGCGCCCAAAACCTTCACCGCCGGATTCGTCCCGACCAAACCCGTCTCCCCGGTGACGCCCTTCCCCCGCGGCGCCGCCTCCTCCCCCTCCTCCGCCCAGTTCAGCCAGATGCCCCGCCCCGCGCCACCTCCTCCTCCGCCCAGTTCAGCCAGATGCCCCGCCCCGCCGCGCCCTCCTCCTCCGCCCTGTTCAGCCAGATGCCCGCCCCGCCGCCACCTCCTCCTCCGCCCTGTTCTGCCAGATGCCCCGCCCCTCCGCCGCCTCCTCCTCCGCCTCCTCCTCCGCCCGCCCCCATGAAAAAGACGTTCCAAACTCCTCCCCCGCCGACGTTCCCCAAGCAGCACGCCGTCGCCAAACCCAACTCGCTGGTCAAGCAGCTCGCCAGCCCAGTTCCCAGGGGCCGCCCCCCACACGGACACGCCCAAACTGCCGCCGCGCGCTGTCCCCGCCCCCGCCCGCCGTCAAAACCAAACCGAAATGGCAGCCCGAGTTCCCGCCTCCGCCTTCGGACAGCCCCACCCCCCCGCCGCCGCCGCTCCCGTCTGTGAACACGAGTTCGCCGTTGAAGAAGTCGCCCCCGGGGACCCTGAAGAAAGCCCCGCCCACGCCGCAGAGGAACGCCAAGCCCGAGTCGTCGTCCTCGTCTTCATCGTATTTGGAAAACCGTCGTAATCTTCTGAGTAAGTTTGGACAGCAGAGCTCCGCCTCGGCGCCGTCTCCGCCCCCTCCGTGTCCCAACAGCCCCTCGCCGCACCGGGACTCGTCGTCCGCTCCGCCGGCGCCGCCCAAACCCGGAAAACTCAACCTGTCCCATTTACCGTTGGCGCTGCAGGCGAAAGTCAACCAGGCTAAAGGCGACTTCCCGTCTCCGCCCACCGACCCGAGCTCGTTCCCGCCGCCCCCGAACGCGTGCGAGCTGTTCCCGCCCCCTCGCCCGCCGCCGCCTCCCGCCAACGACACGCCCGCCCCAAAGTCGCCGTCGTCAACCCTCAGCCTCAGGCCCCGCCCCCTCCCCCGCCCGTGCCCCTCGCCAACAACCACTCCTGGAGCAAGAGTTCGTTGAAGAAGGTTCCCGCGGCGCCGCTGCCCCCGCCCGTCTCCCCGCCCACCTCGCCCAAAAACGGTTCTTCCGGTAACTTCCTGGACGATCTGCACAGGACTCTGAAGAGGAAGTCTGTGGGCAAACACGGCTCCGTGGACCAAAGCGGCGGCGCCGGCACCGACCCGGCGCTGCCCCCCCCTCCGCCCGACCTCCTGACGGCGCCCGGGTTTGCGCCGCTGCGCCGCTCGGGGCCGCCGCCCACGCCGCCCAAACGAGGAGACTGCACCAAACTGACCGGCGAGTGCTGAGGACCAGAACCTCCAAGCTCCTCCCAGGTTCTGGAAGGTTCTGGAAGGTTCATCTCACAGACTCTGAGCTTTAAGTCGTTTTCTGTCCTTCTGATGTTTCCTCGTCTCAGTCGGAGCTCGAGTCCAGTTTGTTTGAATAAATCTTTATTATTAATCTGTCGACATCTGTGAAACTCCAAACACTCTGCTCCACCTTGTGATGTCATCAAGTGAACAGCTCCTTTTCCCTTTAGTTCAGGAGAGATTAAAAACACTGGTTCAGTCCTGGTTTAGATCAGATGTGGTTTAGAACTATTTTAGACCTGGTTCAGATCTGGTTTAGTCCTGGTTTTAGTGGACCTGGTTTAGTCCTGGTTCAGTCGAGTTGATTCCAGGACTGAACTGATCCAGTTGATTCTGGTGAAGGTGTGTGGAGTTTAAAAACACAGTGGAGCACTTCCTGTGTCACCACATGATGACATCACAGGGTGGAGCAGAGAGTTTAAGTTTGAGGGAAGAACTCGTGTTAAATATTTGGGTTTGTGAATGAAACAAACTCTGAGTCTGAGACGAGGAAACGACGTCCGGACGGAGCAGAAAGTCTGAGACGTTCAGATAAAAAAACCTGAAGAACTTTTGGACTAAAACTGTAAATAGAAAAACAGAAGGAACGACCTGAAGACCTGAAGACCTGAAGACCTGGAGACCTGAAGACCTGGAGACCTGAAGACCTGAAGACCTGAAGACCTGAAGACCTGAAGACCTGAGACCTGAAGACCTGAGAGACCTGAAGACCTGAAGACCTGAAGACCTGGAGACCTGAAGACCTGGAGACCTGAAGACCTGAAGACCTGAAGACCTGAGGCTTGGTCCGTCCTGCAGCATCGGGTCAAATGTAATGAGACTCAAGTCATAGAATCTACACACATGAACACATCTGCAAACGGACCGGACCAGGACCAGACCAGGGACCAGACCAGGACAAGAACTGGACCAGGGACCAGGACAAGAACTGGACCGAAGATGGACCAGGGACCAGAGACGAGACTGGGGACGGAACCAGGGACAAGACCAAGGACTGGACTGGGAACTGGACCAGGGACTAGACCTGAAGACTGGACCAGACTGAAGACTGGACCAGGGACAAGATCAGGGACTGGACCAGAGACTGGACCATGGACCAAACCAGGGACTGGACCATGGACTGGACCAGGGACTGGACCAGGGACCGGACCAGGGACTGGACCAGGGACCGGACCAGGGACTGGACCAGGGACCAGGGACTGGACCAGGGACTGGACCAGGGACTAGACCGTGAACTGGCTAAGTTAGTCCTGATCAAAACTAGGTCAAGATCTGGAGTTGGGTCCTACTGCTCCTGACAAGTTTAGTCCTGGTCTAGTCCTGGTCTAGTCCTGGTCTAGTCCTGGTCTAGTCCTGGTCTAGTCCTGGTCTAGTCCTGGTCTAGTCCCGGTCTAGTCCTGGTCTAGTCCCAGTCTCTTCATTCTCTCGTTAAATCATTATTTCCGTAAACGCCTTAAAAACGTTGAAACTGAAGGAATTTGAAATGTTTCTTGTTTTTTTGTTTTGTTTTTTCTTTTTTTATGAAATAATTTAACGACTGGATTTTTTTGTAAACGTGTTTTTTATGCAAATTATGAAGAAGAATTATTATTATTGCTGCAGACCTGAGTTTGACCTGAGTTTGACCTGAAGTCTGAAAGTACGTGGCCGAATTATTAGGTACAACAAAAATGAGACCTGGTTTAGTCCTGGTTTAGTCCTGGTTTAGTCCTGGTTTAGACCTGGCCTGGTTTAGACCTGGTTTAGACCTGGTTTAGACCTGGTTTAGTCTGGTTTAGACCTGGTTTTAGACCTGGTTTAGACCTGGTTTAGACCTGGTTTAGTCCTGGTTTAGTCCTGGTTTAGTCCTGCACCAGGCGTACCTAATAAACTGGCCACACTTTGCTCTGTTTCTCGGGTTCGTTTGTGTCGTTTGTCGTTTTTCTCGGGTTCGTTTGTGTCGTTTGTCGTTTCGGGAGAATGTACGAAGTTGAAGTTTAAATTATCGGTGCCGTTTGGGAGTTCGGGAGAGTTTGGTGGTGTTTTTTTTTTTTCTCGGTGTAAATGTCTCGGTTTGTCTGAGTTTCTGTTTTGTTTGAAAGTTTTTTACAAACGTCCTGGTGCCTGAAGACTTCAGTTTAGCCTTTAAACCTTTTTACTCTTTTCATCTCATCCACAAAAACACGGAACCGGAAAAACACGGAACCGGAAAAACACGGAACCGGAACCAATTTAATCTCTGCTCCTCTGGTTATTTATCGACTCATCTTTTCTGTCACAGGTTTTAATCAGATTTTAGTCTAAAAAAATCCTGAAATCAGTTTTTTTAATTAAATAAAACTGAAAAAAAGACCCAGAACTAAACCTGGATTGATTCAGGACTAAAGAACCCGGACTAAACCAGGATTTACCTTTGGAAGATCCTGGTTTAGACCTGGTTTAGACCTGGTTTAGACCTGGTTTAGACCTGGGTTAGAACTGGGTTGGAACTGGGTTGGAACTGGCTTAGTCCTTGGTTAAATCCCGGATTAGACCTTGGTTTAGACCTGATTTAGACCTGGGTTAGGATTGGTTTAGTCCTGGTTTAATCCTTGGATTAGACCTGGTTTAGTCCTGTTTTAGTCCCGGATTAGACCTTGGTTTAGTTCTTGATTTAAACCTGGTTTAGACCGAGTTTAGACCAAGTTTAGACCTGATTTAGTCCTTGGTTTAGACCTGGTTTAGTCCTGCTTTAGTCCTGGATTAGACCTGGGTTAGACCTGATTTAGACCTGGGTTAGAATTGGTTTGGTCCTGGTTTAGTCCTTGGTTTAGACCGAGTTTAGACCTGGTTTAGGCCTTGATTTAGTCCTGGTTCAGTCCTGCTTTAGTCCCGGATTAGTCCTTTGTTCAGACCTGGTTCAGTCCTGGTCTAGTCCTGGTTGAGTTGGTTTAAATCAGCACTGCACTTGGACCTACCCAGGACTAAACCTGGACTATATCAAGACTTTTTAGACCTTATTTATTGTAATTTAAAGTCTGAGCAGAAAGTCCCTAAAATGGCGTCCGTGTTTCAGAGTTTCCGTGTTTCCGGTTTGTTCCGGTTGTTTCTGAGCTCGTCGTTTCCCGCAGACGTCGCTCGCTCGTGTCGCTTAAACATGAAACTGTTCCACTCGTGTTTGGAGATTTTCAGACGGAAATTTGGGAAGAAATGTAATAAAATAAAATAAAAATAAACTAAATAAACCTGCTGTGTGTTTGTGTTTGTTTGTGTTTGTCTCCCCCTGGTGGAAACACCGGGAAATACAAAAACAGAGTGAAGGGCGCCCTCTGCTGGTCACACGGACAAACTCATGAAAAGTCCACATCCCAGAGCCAAAAATACTCAAGTAAAAGTAAAAGTATAACATAAAAAAAGGAGTATAAAGTAAAAGTATTAATGTACCTTTTAAAATATATGTTTAAAGAGTGAAAAGTTAAAGTTTTGTTTGCAGATTTTGAGATTTAATCAAACCTCAAGAAGAATTTTGTTGAATTTGCTGTTTTTTTTGGTTTGTTTTTTAGCTCTTTTTGTCTTTTTGTTTCTCAAATTACAAATGTGTTAAAAATAAACTTTTCAGCAGCTCTCACACTTAAAAAAAAATACTAGAATAAAAAAATACTTATACTTTTCAGTCCTGCTCAAAACTGCAGTAGAGTAAAAAGTACAGATACTTGTTCTCAAATGAACTGAAGTAATAGTAAAAAGTACAAATACGCAGGAGTTATACTTACGTGCAGTATTTTACAACCTGCACTTCGTTACATTCCACAGCTGCTTTTGTTAAACAGGACCGCACCTGTCACGGCTCACACTGCACCTGTCAGGGCTCACACTGCACCTGTCGGGACAAAAAAATAAAAAATAAAGTAAAATAAAAGTAAATAAAGTAAAAAACAATAAATAAAGTAAAAAACAATTTTAAAAAAAGTAAAAAACATAATAAATAAAATAATAAATAAAGTAAAATAAAAGTAAATAAAGTTTTAAAAAATTATAAAGAAAGTAAAAAACAATTTTAAAAAAAGTAAAAATCATAATAAATAAAAAAAAAATAAAGTAAAATAAAAAAAGTTTAAAAAAAATGATAAAGTAAAAAACATTAAAAAAAACAAAACATTGATTCAGTTGTTTTTGATGAAAATTCATCAGAATTTTGAATCAGCACATTTGAAGCTTGATTAGAGCTCAACATCAAATACTTACAATACAAATACTTTTACTTTACTTTGTGTACTTTATGTACTTTTTTACACAGGTGCTTTTTACTACACTGCAAAAAAATTTAATTCTAGCAAAATTAAAATGACGTGAATTAAGAAAATTTTGTCATGATTTGAGTAAATTTCACTTGAGTAATTGTCAAATTATCTGCAAATGGAACAAAACTTTTTGTACTTAAAATATGAAAATACATCTGTCTTTAAAAGTCTTGGTCTGGTCTTGGTCTGGTCTTGTCCTGGTCTTGTCTGGTCTTGGTCTGGTCTTGGTCTGGTCTTGTCCTGGTCTTGGTCTGGTCTTGTCCTGGTCTTGGTCTGGTCTTGGTCTTGTCTTGGTCTTGGTCTGTCTGGTCTTGTCTGGTCTTGGTCCTTGGTCTTCTGGTCTTGGTCTGGTCTTGTCTGGTCTTGGTCTTGGTCTGGTCTGGTCTGGTCTGGTCTGTCTGGTCTTGGTCTTGGTCTGGTCTTCTTGGTCTGGTCTTGTCCTGGTCTTGGTCTTGGTCTGGTGTCCTGGTCTTGGTCTTGGTCTTGTCCTGTCTGGTCTGGTCTGGTCTGGTCTTGTGGTCTTGTCCTGGTCTTGGTCTGGTCTTGGTCTGGTCTTGTCCTGGTCTTGGTCTGGTCTTGGTCTGGTCTTGTCCGTCTGGTCTTATCCTGGTCTTGGTCTGGAATCATCCGCTTGAGTCAGAAACATAAACATAAAACACAAACAGTAAAAATGTTTTTCTGTAAAGCTGCACTGTGGAATCTTACAGTGTCTCCATGGAGACGAGCAGGTGTAAAGTGCCGCAGTGCGTCTTTAGCGGGTCACTTCCTGTGTGCGTCCCGTTTGTGGGCGCTGACCTTCGACCTCTTTCCTCACTAAAGTAAACATCAAAAAACAAACTTCAGACTCAGAACGACGGAACGAGACTCCAACAAAACCAGACATGAACAGAACCCCGATCCAAGTCCCGGTCCTGGTCCTGGTCCTGGTCTGGGCCACAACCGGACTCACATCTCAAATACAGTGAGTACAGGACTGAACCAGGACTAGACCAGGACTAGACCAGGACTAGACCAGGACTAGACCAGGACTAGACCAGGACTAGACCAGGACTAGACCAGGACTAAACCAGGACTAACCAGGACCAGGACTAAACCAGGACTAGACCAGGACTAAACCAGGACTAGAACCAGGACTAGACCAGGACTAGACCAGGACTAGACCAGGACTAGACCAGGACTAAACCAGGACTAGACCAGGACTAAACCAGGACTAGACCACCAGGACTAGACCAGGACTAAACCAGGACTAAACCAGGACTAGACCAGGACTAGACTAGGACTAGACCAGGACTAGACCAGGACTAGACCAGGACTAGACCAGGACTAAACCAGGACTAGACCAGGACTAGACCAGGACTAGAACCAGGACTAAACCAGGACTAGGACTAGGACCAGGACTAAACCAGGACTAGACCAGGACTAGACTAGGACTAAACCAGGACTAGACCAGGACTAAACCAGGACTAAACCAGGACTAACCAGGACTAGACCAGGACTAGACCAGGACTAAACCAGGACTAGACCAGGACTAGACTAAACCAGACTAGGACTAGGACCAGGACTAACAGGACTACCAGGACTAAACCAGGACTAGAACCAGGACTAGACCAGGACTAAACCAGGACTAAACCAGGACTACCAGGACTAGACCAGGACTAACCACCAGGACTAACCAGGACTAGACCAGGACTAGACCAGGACTAAACCAGGACTAGACCAGACCAGGACTAAACCAGGACTAAACCCAGGACTAGAACCAGGACTAGACCAGGACTAGGGACTAGGACCAGGACTAGACTAGACCAGGACTAAACCAGGACTAGACCAGGACTAGACCAGGACTAAACCAGGACTAGACCAGGACTAGACCAGGACTAAACCAGGACTAGACCAGGACTAGACCAGGACTAAACCAGGACTAAACCAGGACTAGACCAGGACTAGACCAGACTAGACCAGGACTAGACCAGGACTAAACCAGGACTAGACCAGGACTAAACCAGGACTAGACCAGGACTAGACCAGGACTAGACCAGACTAGACCAGGACTAGACCAGGACTAGACCCAGGACTAGACCAGGACTAAACCAGGACTAGACCAGGACTAGACCAGGACTAGACCAGGACTAGGACTAGACCAGGACTAGACCAGGACTAGACCAGGACTAACCAGGACCCAGGACTAGACCAGGACTAGACCAGGTCTAGACCAGGACTAAACCCTAATTAGGAATAAATAAGGACTAAACCAGGGACTATATCAAGACTGAACCAGGACTGAACCAGTTCTAACCCCGGTCTAACCCCGGTCTAACCCCGGTCTAACCCCGGTCTAACCCCGGTCTAACCCGGTCTAACCCCGGTCTAAACCCCGGTCTAACCCCGGTCTAAACCCGGTCTAACCCCGGTCTAACCCGGTCTAACCCCGGTCTAAACCCGGTCTAAACCCGGTCTAAACCCGGTCTAAACCCGGTCTAACCCGGTCTAACCCCGGTCTAAACCCGGTCTAACCCCGGTCTAAACCCGGTCTAACCCGGTCTAAACCCGGTCTAAACCCGGTCTAACCCCGGTCTAACCCCGGTCTAACCCGGTCTAAACCCGGTCTAACCCCGGTCTAACCCCGGTCTAACCCCGGTCTAAACCCGGTCTAAACCCCGGTCTAACCCGGTCTAAACCCGGTCTAACCCCGGTCTAACCCGGTCTAACCCCGGTCTAACCCCGGTCTAACCCGGTCTAAACCCGGTCTAAACCCGGTCTGTTGTCAGTTGTCTCTGGGTCCTGCGGTGGAGAAAAAGTCCGTGTGGTTGGATTGTGGGATTCACGCTCGTGAGTGGATAAGTCCCGCCTTCTGCCTCTGGTTCGTCCAATACGTGAGTGCAGCTGTCAATCACACGTTAGCCACGCCCCCTCACACTGTGACCTCACCACGTGTCCCCACGTGTCTCAGTCTCTGGGATTTTACGGCGTGAACTCGGACATCACTCGGATCCTCGACGGTTTTGACGTGATTGTTCTGCCGGTGCTCAACCCCGATGGATACGACTACACCTGGACCAAGGTACTGGACCAGGACTAAACCAGGACTAAACCAGGACCACTACACCTGGACCAAGGTACTGGACCAGGACTAAACCAGGACTAAACCAGGACTAAACCAGGACTAAACCAGGACCACTACACCTGGACCAAGGTACTGGACCAGGACTAAACCAGGACTAAACCAGGACTAAACCAGGACCACTACACCTGGACCAAGGTACTGGACCAGGACTAAACCAGGACTAAACCAGGACTAAACCAGGACCACTACACCTGGACCAAGGTACTGGACCAGGACTAAACCAGGACCAAACCAGGACTAAACCAGGACTAAACCAGACCTGTCATTTTAACCAGTTTTTAATTCATGTTTTATTAATTTTTGGTCTCCTCAGATGATCCAGACTCACAGTGTGAATCTAGTTTGTTTTCATGTTTCTGTGAAGAAAAAGACAAATTTAAAAAAACAAGTTGATGTAAAAGTTCAGCCTCAGCTTCGTTTTTGAAACATGAGGAAGCCCAGTGTTCAGAAACATCTCAGAGGGTTTGGAGTTTGGAGTAAAAAGCTCGAGATGATCAGACGGAGGTTCTTCATGTGTCGTGTAGAAAATGAGATGTTCTTCAAAGTGAAACCGATTGTGTCCAGAGACTCTGAGTTTGTTTGAGGAGGAATGTGAGTTTTGTTTTTGTTCAGAATCGACTGTGGAGGAAGAATCGTTCTTCGTCTCCAAACAGTCGCTGCGTCGGAGTCGACCTCAACAGAAACTTCGACGCAAACTGGTGCAGTGAGTTCACTTCAAATAAAACATATAAGATCATAAAAACAAGATCAGAGCCCAGGACCACGAGGTCACAGGTTCAAGTCCTCCCTCCACACTGATGTTCTAACAATTTTACACACCAACAAGTGTTAAAATTAACTCTGACAGAGTCAGTTTGAACATGTTCTCAGAGTTTATCTGAGTCACTCTGTTCTAGAGTTAATTTAACATTTGTGTAAATGTTCATGAAGTAAAACTGGACCAAAGTTCCTGTTTAACCCAAATCCAGAGTTAAATGAAGGTTTAGAGAGTAAACAGATAACACTTTGTAGAGTTAATCTGATTTAACTCAACAACACACAGAGGAGTTTTATTTTGACACTTTATTTGAGTTAATTTAAGATGAGATTCAGTGTGTCAGAGTGTAACGCGGTGTGTGTCCAGCGGAGGGCGCCTCCTCGTCTCCGTGCTCTGAGATCTACTGCGGTCGCTTCCCAGAGTCTGAGTCCGAGTCTCAGGCCGTCGCCAACTTCCTGAGGACCAACAAAGACCTGGTCCAGATCTACATCAGCATCCACTCCTACTCACAGATGCTCCTGTTCCCCTACTCCTGCACCACCCAGCAGACCCCAGACCATCAGGAACTGGTGAGGACCAGACCAGGACCAGGACCAGACCAGGACCAGACCAGACCAAGACCAGGACCAAGACCAGGACTGAACCAAGACTATAACAGAAATAAAACAGGACTAAAACTACTCCTGCACACACCAGCAGACCCCAGACCATCAGGAACTGGTGAGGACCAGACCGGGACCAGGACCAGACCAGACCAGGACCAGACCAGACCAGGACCAGACCAGACCAGACCAGACCAGGACTGAACCAAGACTATAACAGAAATAAAACAGGACTAAAACTACTCCTGCACACCCAGCAGACCCCAGACCATCAGGAACTGGTGAGGACCAGACCGGACCAGACCAGACCAGGACCAGACCAGACCAGACCAGACCAGACCAACCAGGACCAGACAAGACCAGGACTGAACCAAGACTATAACAGAAATAAAACAGGACTAAAACTACTCCTGCACCACCCAGCAGACCCCAGACCATCAGGAACTGGTGAGGACCAGACCGGGACCAGGACCAGGACCAGGACCAGACCAGACCAGACCAGACCAGGACCAGGACCAGGACAGATCCAGACCAGACCAGACCAGGACCAGACCAGACCAGGACCAGGACCAGACCAGGACCAGACCAGACCAGACCAGACCAGGACCAAGACCAGGACCAGCCAGACCAGACCAGACCAGGACCAGACCAGACCAGACCAACCAGACCAGACCAGACCAGACCAGGACCAGACCAGACCAGACCAGACCAGACCAGGACCAGACCAGACCAGGACCAGGACCAGACCAAGACCAGGACCAAGACCAGGACTGAACCAAGACTATAACAGAAATAAAACAGGACTAAAACTACTCCTGCACCACCCAGCAGACCCCAGACCATCAGGAACTGGTGAGGACCAGACCAGGACTAAACTAGGACCAGGACTAGACCAGGACCAGGATTGAACCAGGATTGAACCAGGTCTAAATCAGGACTAAATCTACTCCTGCACCACACAGCAGATCCCAGACCATGTGATGAGGACTGAACAAAGACCAGGACTAAATCAGCCAAGACTAAACCAGTACTCAACCAGGACTAAACCAGGACTAAATCTAGACTAAACCCGGTCTGTCTTTTGTCCTAAAGTTGGAGATGGTGAAAGAAGCGTCTCATAAAATCCGGAGACATTATCGCAACAACTACAAATACGGAGCTGGAGCCGAAACCATCTGTAAGTATCAAGAACTGAACCAGGACTAAACCAGGACTAAACCCGGAGCTTGTTTGTGTCTCAGACCTGGCCCCGGGAGGTTCGGACGACTGGGCGTATAATCTGGGGATCAAATATTCGTTCACGTTCGAGCTGCAGGACACAGGACGATACGGGTTCCTCCTGCCTCCGTCTCACATCAGCAAGGCCTGCAACGAAGCTCTGATCGCCGTCAAGACCATCGCCCTGAAGGTCCTCGAGAGCAAGGCCAAAGCAGCAGCAGACCAGGACTAAACCAGGACCAGACCAGGACCAGACCAGGACTGAACCAGGACTGAACCTTCTCCCTCCATCTCTCTGTCAAGACCATCGCCCTGATGGTCCTCGAGAACAAGGCCAAAACAGCAGCAGACCAGGACTAAACCAGGACCAGACCAGGTCTAAAACAGGACTGAACCTTGACCAGACTAGGACTAGACCAGGACTGAACCAGGATCAAACTAGGACTGAACCTGCTCCCTCAATCTCACAACAACAAGACCTCCAACAAAGCTCTGATCAACGTTAAGACCATCGTCATGAAGGTCCTACAGTACAGAGCTAAAGCAGGACCAGACCAGGACCAGCCCAGGACTGAACCAAGACTGAACCAGGACCAGACCAGGACTAAACCAGGACTAAACCAGGACTGAACCAGGACTGAACCTCCTCCCTCCTTCTCATATCAACAAGACCTCCAACGAACCTCTGATCACCGTGAAGATCGTCGTCATGAAGGTCCTGGAGAACAAGACCAAGAAAACCAAGACTGAACCAGGACTAAAGCCAGACTATACCCGTCTAAATCCCAGGTCTAAATCTGGACTACACTGGGTCTAGTTTTTAGTTCTTAAATGTTTTTATTTTATTTCCCTCTGATTATTTCCCCCTTTGTAAATATCATAATGTCATTAAAATCTACAGAAAGAATCTGGATGAACTTTTTATTTCTTTATTTTATTGTCAGACGGGAGTTAAACCAGGTCCAGACCAGGACTAAACCAGGACTAAACCAGGACTAAGCCAGGACTGAATCTGAACTGAAACCAGATATAAACCAGTTCTAAACTAGAACTAAACCAGGACTAAACCAGATTAAAATTAGGTTTGAACTTAATCTAAAACAGGTCTAAACCAGGACTAAATGAAGACTTAAACCAGATCTAAATCATGTCTAAACTTAATCTAAACTAGGCCTAACCAGGTCTAAATCCAGGACTGAATCTGGACTAAAACCAGATCTAAACCAGGTCCAAACTAGAACTAAACCAGGACTAAACCAAGTCTAAACCTGGACTAAACTAGAACTAAACCAGAAGTAAACCTGGTCTAAATCAGTTCTTAACCAGAACTGAATCAGGACTAAAACCAGATCTAAACAGGTCTAAACCTGGTCTAAATCAGGACTAAACCATAGACTGTATATAATAACATGTCAAACTCAGGCCCAGGGGCCAAATTTGGCCTCTGATATAATAATATTTGGCCCTTTAGGTCAGATCAGATCTGTGTTACATCTGACCGCCGCACACACACAGGACTCTAGACACATGATTTTAAAATGTTGTTATTATTTTATATTTTGTTTGTTCTGAATTCAATGTTGAAACAAATTATTTTATTTTAAAAATGTATTTGAATAAGAAAAAGTTTAAACATCACAGACCTCGACAGAAGAGAAACATGCAGATGTCGTTGACATTTTTGAGTAAATATTTAGTTTGTCCAAGATTTAGTCCCAGTTTTGTTTTTTTAAATTTTGTTTAAATTTGAGTAAAAGTCTCGCGCTCTAAACCCTGCTCTGCGCACGCGCCCGGGCCACGCGCTATCGTCGCTTTTATCCCGCCGGACATGACGTCACCACCGCCGCCATGACGGAGCCGCTCGGCGCAGATCGTGCACCGTGACACCTCCGAATAAAGCGGCGATTTTCTGCACAAAACGGACCCACCCCGGACTAAAGTCGATGCTCCGCCGAATACATATCTTGGGTGAGCCGTGCCCGGGTTTAGGCGCTTATTCCGGGCGTGTTTTTGTCTCTGGGGCCGCGCTGTGGTGAAGTGATGGAGTTAGCACGTTAGCATTAGCACCATCCGTGTTTGTGACATTTTAAAGCTCCAGAAATGTTTTTACAACAGATTTATCTGCGTTTACACGTAAACAGATAAAGGATAAAATGGTGAATAAACATAATATGCTCAGAACGTGATTGAAAATGTCGTAAATAAAGGAAAACCTTTTAGTTTCGTGTTGCTCGGAGCGTGTTTTGTTGTTGGTTGTAAACTTGTAATGAATGAATCCCGCTGCTCTGACTGACAATAACATTTAATTTATAATGTAATAAAGTACAGGAATATTATCCACAAATACTAATAAGCTTACATCACCCTTTGTGAATAAATAACACAGATAAAAGCTCCGGAATAAACTTTAAAACTCCAGAAAACACGATTAAAGTTGTAAACATTTGGACTTGTGATGAGGAGGATGGGAGGGCATCTGACACAAACTGATATCCATGGGTCAGAATGATGGATGTGTTGTGACCTGTTGCCATAGCGATTGATTGATTTAAATTGAATTAAGTCCTGGAAATGTTGGAACAGAACGCTAAACCCCCCCCCCAAAAAAAAAACCCAGGAAGGAACAGGAAGCTAAAAAAAATAAAATTTGTCAAAGGGCGGGAGGGCATCTGACGCAGAGGGGGGCAGGTGTACGGGAGGACACAGGTGTACGGGAGGACACAGGTGTACGGGACAGGTGTACGGGAGGACACAGGTGTACGGGAGGGCATCTGACTCTTTTTGTCGGTGTTGCAGCTCTGCAGAATGTCCAAGATCAGGAGGAAGGTGACAGTGGAGAATTCTAAGACGATTTCGGACTCGAGCGCCGTGCCCCTCCCCCCCACGTCCCGCCGCCCCAGTGTGTTTGAGAGGCTCGGACCGAGCACCGGCGCCGCGGCTCCAGAGGTCAGACCGGGGTTTAGACCGGGGTCTAGACCGGGGTTTAGACCGGGGTCTAGACCGGGGTTAAACTGGGATGCATGAGACTGGGGTTAGACCAGATTTTAGACCGATGTTAGTTTAGAGTGGACCTGGTTTACCCCCTGCTTTAGACTGGGTCAGACCTGGGTTAGTCCTGGCTTAGTCCTGGCTTAGTCCTGGGTTAGTCTTATTTTAGTCCTGGTTTAGTCCTATTTTAGTCCCAGGTTAATCCTGGGTTAGTCTTGGGGTTAGTCCTGGGTTTGTCCTATTTTAGTCCTGGTTTAGTCCTGGTTTAGTCCTATTTTAGTCCTATTTTAGTCCCGGGTTTGTCCCGGGTTAGTCCTGGTTCAGTCCTGGTTCAGTCCTGGTTCACACACAATTTAGACTGACTTTAGAACTAATGTAGTTAGTCCTGGTTTGGTCCATGGTTTGGTCTGGTTTTAATCTTGGTTCATCCCAGGTTTGGTCCTGATTTAGTCATGGTTCAGTCCAGTTTTAGTCCAGTTTTAGTCCTTGTTTACACCTTTTTCGTTCTTATCGTTGTTGTGTTTTTGTTTCAGAGTCAGTGCAGAAATTGGCTGAAAACTGGGAACTGCAGCTACGGAAACACTTGTCGTTACACACATGGCCCTCAGCCCCGAGGCAAATTCAGCTTCAGCCTGTGAGACTCAAACCGCTCCACGTTTAAACTCGTTAAATCTTTCTGTTTTTATTGACCTTAAGTTTGTTTGTTGTTTTGTTTTAGGTCAGCAGAGAGGCCCACTGGAGATCTGCGCGAGAGGATGAAAAATAAGAGACAGGATGTGGATTCAGACAATTTAAAACGCGACGCAGACGAACCACAAACCGCCACTACAAGAGTGAGTTTACAGAGCCGATCACTAGCATGCTAACCGCGCACTCGGACAGTAAAACGCTGTATAATCAGATGGAGACGCTATATATATGTGTGTGTGTATATATGTGTATATATGTGTGTATATGTGTATATATGTATATATATTATATATATATATATATATATATAAAATACTAAATTTTTCATGTATTCATAAGGTGGAGGCTTTAATTTTCATCCTTTTGGGTTTTTTGCCTCTTCCAGCACCTACTGTTGTATCTAGTGAGTTTCTTTTTATTTTCATGTTATATGTGCAAAATAAATAAATCAGTAATAAATAAATAAAAATGATCAGATGGAGGAGCAGAGGGACGGAGTGAGTAGGACAGTCAAGTTCCATAAGGTCTTCCAGACGACTGTACTTAGTATTTATAATAAATGTGTTTTGTTTTGTTTTATTCAGAGAGACTCGTCCAGAGGCAGACACAGGGAGAAGGAGGACATAAAAATCACTAAAGAGAGAACTCCAGCCAGTGAAGAAGAAGCTCCAGAGTGGGAGGCCACCAGAGAAGGTACAGGGTTTAACGTTAGACTTTAGAGCAGCAGTATTATTATTTTTTGTTCCCCGTACAAACCCTCGGATCTGTGTCCAGACTCAGATATCGGAGACTACGACTACGAGCTGTCTCTGGAGATGAAGAGGCAGAAGATCCAGAGGGAGCTGATGAAGCTGGAGCAGGAAAACCAGGACAAAAGAGAAGAAATCACCATCAAGAAAGACGAGACGCAGAAGAGCAGAGGCCCAGCAGTCACCAAGGTACAGACTCGCATTAGTCCTGCTGTAATCCTGCTGTAGTCCTGGTCCTGCTTTAGTCCTGCTTTAGTCCTGGTCCTGGTCCTGCTTTAGTCCTGCTTTAGTCCTGCTTCTTTAGTCCTGCTGTAGTCCTGCTTTGGTCCTGCTTTGGTCCTGCTTTGGTCCTGCTTTGGTCCTGCTTTAGTCCTGCTTTAGTCCTGATCCTGATCCTGGTCCTGCTGTAGTCCTGCTGTAGTCCTGCTGTAGTCCTGGTCCTGCTTTAGTCCTGCTTTAGTCCTGCTGTAGTCCTGCTTTGGTCCTGCTTTGGTCCTGCTTTGGTCCTGCTTTGGTCCTGCTTTAGTCCTGCTTTAGTCCTGATCCTGATCCTGGTCCTGCTGTAGTCCTGCTGTAGTCCTGCTGTAGTCCTGCTGTAGTCCTGCTTTGGTCCTGCTTTGGTCCTGCTTTGGTCCTGCTTTGGTCCTGCTTTAGTCCTGATCCTGGTCCTGCTGTAGTCCTGCTGTAGTCCTGCTTTGGTCCTGCTTTGGTCCTGCTTTGGTCCTGCTTTAGTCCTGCTTTGGTCCTGCTTTGGTCCTGCTTTGGTCCTGCTTTGGTCCTGCTTTAGTCCTGATCCTGGTCCTGCTGTAGTCCTGCTGTAGTCCTGCTTTGGTCCTGCTTTGGTCCTGCTCTAGTCCTGATCCTGGTCCTGCTATAGTCCTGCTTTAGTCCTGGTCCTGGTTTAGTCCTGGTTTATGAAACATGTGTGGGATTTTAAGGATCGACCGATATATCAGTTCACCCATATTATTTGGTCGATATGGGCACTTGGAGACACATCGATTATTAGGGTTGTACCGATCCGATCTCGTGACTGTGGACTCGATCCGGACTTGGACGTTATGTGCCGATCAGGTATCAGAAAAATAATATACGTATATAATACACAGGACATTCAGGACACATCATTTTTTATGAGGTGCAGGATTCACTCAGGGACGTCCAGTTGGAGCGACTGTTTGTCCCAGCGTCTGTTGTACTAGAGACACACTCACACTGGGACTTTTGGGTCGTGTCGTACTCGGGCGTTGTTACCTGCGGTTCTGTGGTCCGTGTTCACACCTGTGCGGCCGAGAGCGTCGTCGTACGTGCACATGTTGTGCTGTGGAGCTGGCGCTTTTGGCGTTGAGGGTCCGTCCAGTGGAGTGGAGCGTCTATCGAGTGATGGGACCGATGTTGCGGTGCTCTGCCGTTTGTTGTGCGCTCTGCGGTGGGTTTGTGGATGTGGTGGTGCGTTTGAGAGGCTGTGGGGCTTCTGCCATCTCGTTTTTATTTGGTAAGATTTTTTATTATTTGGATTTGATAGACGAGCCTAAATGTTTAAATATAATTCTCATGCCTCCATATAATATCAAATATACAAAGTGTAGATTGTGCAGAGTCGAGTCTCAGGTCTGATCTGGTTCTGGTCTGGTTCTAGTCTCAGGTCTGATCTGGTTCTGGTCTGGTTCTAGTCTCAGGTCTGATCTGGTTCTGGTCTGGTTCTAGTCTCAGGTCTGATCTGGTTCTGGTCTGGTTCCTGTTTTGTCCAGTTCATTAAGTTTACTAAGTTACACATTCCAAAAGCAGACTGTGCAAAGTCAAGATTTTCAACAATGATGGTTCATGGTTAGAAAAGTTCATAAAATTAAAGTTTTGGACATTTGATTTTTCACACTAAGTTCAGTCCAAATACGACACACTGAAATCAACACAATCTGATCCTCACACATCCTGGATCTGATTCTATATAACATTTTATAATGTTTTATAGAAGTATCGGATTGGGACTTGGTACCGGCAGATACTCAAAATCAAATGACTCGGACTCAAACTCGGGGGCAAAAAATTCCTATCGATTATCGGTCTAAATCTTGGTCCTCGTGAGCAGATTCTACCTCGTTATGAAGCTTAGACTCTCGATATTCTGTTTATTTAATCCAATTTACAGACACATAAATGTTCTAACATGTGGCGGCACTTCAGGATTTATCTGTGGAGTTACTTGTTTGTGTGTGTGAGACGTCGTACTGCCCCTGAACGCACCGCAGAGTCACATCACTCACATGTGCCTGTTCACAAGATCCACACGCACAACACTGAGGAGCTGCTGCTTTAAACGCTCCTGTGTCCGACCCACCACACTGACCAGAAACAAAACTCAACTGCAAAAACAAATCTACAGCCGTTTTTATCAAACTTCAGAGCGGAGTCTTGTGATCCGAGAGGAGCCTGTGAGACTGGCGGTGAGTGCTGCAAACGTGTCGTTTTTGGAGCTCCGTTTGGTTGTTTCTCGTTGTTTAGCTGCTGTCGCTCTACATAAACAGTTTGTTTTCTGACATTGTTCTGGTCTCAAGTGTCTGCACATGTGACTGGACCTGCACTGATGTGTGAATGATCCATATTTACACATAGGGGTGTCAAATTATCGCGTTAATTGTGATTAATTAATTACAGTCATATTTAGTGCGTTATGTTTTTAATTGCGTTAATCTTATTTTTAATCTCTAAGTTTACTGTTTCTGTGTGAGTTGTCTTATTATAAAATCTGTTTTTATGTGTTGTTAGGACACAGTCGCACTGTTCAGTCCTGCTCCGCTCGCTCCCGCAAACAATAGTAATTTTCATTCTCGTTCTCGCTGCATCTGTGATAAATGTGCGCACGTCTGATCTGAAAACATCACGACACAAACACAGAACAGACTGAGCATCAGCAGAACATCCCTCTGTCACAGAGAGAACACTCATATTCCACTGAGTCGTGTCCTTTAGTCCGACAGAAGTTGAACCACGTCAGCGACATGAGCGTTTTTTTTTTTTCTTTTCTCCGCTTAGTTTATGCAAATTAGTGATGTGGTTTTAAGTTTAGTTTCTGTGACATTTGCACGAATCTGCATTAAACACATGATAATGTCAAAGGGCTGATGTGGCTCTAGAGTCGTTATGTTTATATGTTGTAAAGTTGAGTTTATTTATGCAGATTAGTAACAGCAATAATACAAAAACGTTAATTATAGTCTGAAAATAATGTAATAATGAATTCAAATGAAAATACCTCAAGTTGAAGCTTTTCTCAGCAATTTTTAGGTGAGATTAAAAAAGAGATTATTACATTAATTAATTACAGATCATAATTAATTAATATCTAAATTTTTTAAATTGCTTGACAGCACCAATTTACACATGTCATTAGTTTCAGCTGAGAGGGGCACCTTAATTCACCGTGTGTGGGAATGTCCTAAAGTGGTAACTTTTTGGAAAATGGTGGTTTGTACCTTAAGTAAAATCGTTGGCGTTCAGGTGCCTTTCTCTGCAAAACTGTGTCCTAGAAATAAACCCAGACAACTTCACTATCGGCTCTAAAAGTAAAACTCTGATGGACTTTGGCCTCCTGCAGACCAGGAGGACGGTTGGTTTGTCGAGGAAAGAGACTGAAGTTTCTTCTGAACAGTCCTGGATTCTAGAAATGTCTTTGTGTGTTACACTGGAAAAGCTGACTTATATCAGGGGTGTCCAAACTTTTTTCATCAAGGGACACATCTCAAAACACAGATGAAGCAGAGACTGATCGAGGGCCACAGACTGGAGCTCAATACAGGGAATAATTGAAATTTGTGCATGTTTAACACGTTAGAATGAGCCGTCAGTCTTTATTCACGCTAAGATCCTTAAAAACCACACACTAAATATTAAATCTTCACTTTATCAAGGTACATTTTCAAAAAACTTGCAGTAAAATGCTAATTTTTAATTGATGCAAGGTAATTTGGGCCAATTCACTTGGAACTTGAGGGCCGCATTTGGCCCCCGGGCCATAATTTGGACATACCTGACCTGTATCATTAGAGGTAATTTGAAGAAGTATGGACAACCTTAATGGTCTTTCTCAGAAAACTATAGTTGTGAAAGAGTGTGACAGTTATTATTATTCTTTATTTATTTATTTATTGTTCTTTTATTACTTTATTTTTGTTATTTTTTTACTTTTTTATTTTTTTTATTATTATTTTATATATATCTCTTTTTATTATTATTGTTTTAAATTTACCACATTGTTATTTCTTAACATTCTATGTTTATATGCGTATATGTTTACACATATATGTATATTTGTATATATGTTACACCACTTGCTGTACAATTATAAATCTCAACTGAAAACCAATAAAAAACATTATGGAAAAAATTAAATATATACATACATGTCATTAATTACCGCACACGCTTTAACCGCTAAAGGTTGATGGTGGTAGTTTGTTTACAGTCCAGAATGTGATGCATAAACGCTGTTAGTCTGACCCACTGTCTTTAAATGTGACGTAAAGACGCAGAATAACAGGAAATGTCGCCTAAATAAACACAATTTAAAATCCATTAGAACCAAACCTAAGTTTTATCATCACCTGAAGATTTACAGTGAATTTTTACATCACTAAATAAACTGACTATTGGCTCCTCCAGAACCGCTTTTATCAGGATCGTATCGGCCGCAAAAAAAAAAATCCACATCGGTCGGGTCCTAATTTTAATTTTCTCCTTTCTGTTCCTGCAACAGACGTCCCCAGAGCCGATGAGCTCCAAAGACTCTCCGACCAGGAAGTCCAGCGGCTCCCCCAAACACAAAGGGGGCGCCAAAACCAGCGGCTCTGGAAAGAAGGAGAAGAAGACGTCCGTGTCCTCCCCCATCGCAGAGAGGTACAAAAAAATACAAACGTACATCACCGGAGCGGAGGAGCAGAAGGTCAGGGCCGTAACGGTGTCATATGTTTGTGTTTGTAGTTCCAGGTCGTCTAAAGGAGGCCACAGTAAAAAGAAAGGCCCGCGCACGCCGAGCCCGCCGCCGCCCGTGCCCCTGGAGCTGCCCGTCACAGGAGCAGGAGGAGGGAAAAAACACAAAACCAAACACAAGAACAAAGAAAAGTCTGAGGAGAAAGTCAAAGAGAAAGAGAGAGACGGAGAGAAACACAAAGAGAAGAAAGACAAACGCAGGTGAGACTCGACCAGGACCAAACCGGGACTAAAACAGGTCTGAACTGGGACTAAACCAGGGACTAAACCAGGACTGAACCAGGTCTAAACCAGGACTAATCCAGGACTCGAGTAGGACTAAACTGAATCTGAACCAGGACTAAACCAGGATTGAACGAGGTCCGAACCAAGGACTAAACTAGGACTGAACCAGGAATAAACCAGGAATGAACCAAACTGAACCTGGACCGAACCAGGGACTAAACCTGGACTAATCCAGGACTGAACTGGGTCCGAACCAAGGACTAAACCAGGGCCTGAACTGGGCCTAAACTGGGACTAAACTGGGACTAAACTAGGACTGAAGCAGGACAGAACTAGGTCTAAACAAGGACTAAACCAGGTCTGAACTGAAACTAAACCAGGACTAAACCAGAACCAGATTATTAGCTGTTTTTGCTGTTTGTCGTTCTTGCTGATGTTTGTGTTGTTTTCAGGGATCGCTCGGACAGTTCCCATAAGGCCAAGCGTGTGGTGACGTCAGAGGAGCGATCGGGAAGCGCGTCTCCTCCTCCCGCTCGAAAGAAATCCGCCTCCCCCAAAACCGCCGTCGGCAAAGGCCCCGCCCACAGCAGCTCGCCGCCGCACAGGTACAGGTGATTCTCTTTCATTTATATGTAATAAAGAATCAAATCAGGTTCTTCCAGGCAAAGTCCCTCCATGTTCGAGAGCAGGTGGTGGTGTGGTGATGCCGCCACATGTTTAACCAATCTTTATCTTCAATTTTTATCTTTAATTCTTTTTCCCACTTCCCCTTCACCGTTAGAGTTGTGTTCTTATCGTTTTTAGTTTAGTTAGGGCTTTAGATGAACACAGCACAGGTTCTTTTTGTTAATGATCTCTCTCTTCTTCTTCTTCTCCTCCTTCAGATCGGTGTCTCCTCCTCACCACCGCTCCCCCTCCTCTCGCTCCGGCTCTTCCGCCCAGCGTCGCTCCTCCTCCCCCCTCCAGGACTCCTCCCCTCCTCCCCCCCGGCGCTCCGACCGAGGAAGTCCTGGAAGGAGGCACTCGCGGGGACGAGAGAGGGACCGGAGCAGGGACCGGAGCCGGGATAGAAGCAGGGACCGGAGCCGGGATCGGAGCAGGGACCGGAGCAGGGACAGGAGCCGAGACAGGAGCCTTGACAGGAGCAGAGACAGGAGCCGTGACAGGAGCAGGGACAGGAGTAGAGACAGGAGCAGGGACAGGAGCCGGGATCGGAGCAGAGACCGGAGCAGGGACAGAAGTAGAGATCGGAGCAGGGACAGGAGCAGGGACAGGAGTCGGGAAAGGAGCAGGGACAGGAGCCGTGACAGGAGCAGAGACAGGAGCAGGGATAGAAGCAGGGACAGGAGCCGTGACAGGAGCCGAGACAGGAGCAGGGACAGGAGCAGAGACAGGAGCAGAGGGGAGCGAGAGCGCAGAGATGGTAAGTTTAAAAATTCGGTTTTTGTTTCAAATTTAGACCCATTTTTCAGTCAAACCACCTGCTCGTCTCCGTGAAGATGTTATTCAAGGTTCCCACGGTTTCTTAAAAACTCTTAAAAGCACTGAATTTATGAATTTGGAAATAAGACCTTGAAAGGATTTGGAAAAAGCTTGGAATTTTTATATCTGGGTCTTAAAATTTGTGCAGTACGTAACTTCTTCATGTCTCAGTTCTCCTCAAAAGTTTAATTTGTCAATCGCCATTATTTGGTTCAGTAACGTCGCCTAAATAAAAAAGGATGGAACCAATAATTGAAAACTCAACGCAGCCTCGAGTTAAAATCTTCCAACACGTCACGGAAGATCACGAGCTACAGCAGCACGAGAAACAAGCTCAGGAGAAGAGCGGAAAATCAGAGACAATCTCAGCAAAACAAAAGTTTGACTGACACCGTTCTGTTGTTTTTTTCCAATCCACTTTATTTCTGTCGCACATTTCACAAACAAACAGTTTCCAAACTTCTGCACAAATACAGAATAATAACAACAATAATAAGATGATAAAATAAACGACTAAAATAATACTAGTCTTGAAATAATAAAACCAGTAAAATAAAATAAAACCAGTAATAAAATAAAATAAAACCTGTAAAATAAAAATAAAACCTGTAAAATAAAATAAAACCTGTAAAATAAAATAAAACCTGTAAAATAAAATAAAACCTGTAAAATAATATAAAACCTGTAAAATAAAATAAAACCTGTAAAATAAAATAAAACCTGTAAAATAAAATAAAACCTGTAAAATAAAATAAAACTAGTAAAATAAAATAAAACCAGTAAAATAAAATAAAACCTGTTAAATAAAATAAAACCTGTTAAATAAAATAAAAATGTAAAATAAAATAAAACCTGTAAAATAAAATAAAACTAGTAGAATAAAATAAAACTAGTAAAATAAAATAAAACCAGTAAAATAAAATAAAACCAGTAAAATAAAATAAAAAAACAAAATAAAATAAAAATAAATAAACCAATAAATAAAAAAATCTTAACGTAAAAATTTTGTATAGGTCTTTGCAGATGTCAATTGCTTGATGACCTCTTATTTTACTTTTATTTTTATTTAATTTTTTAATTATTTATCCTTTTTTTTTTTTTTTTTTGGTTGGTCTGAGGATTTATTCAGTTTCACAATACTCATAATTTTAACTAATAATAACTAAAACTTTCTAATAAAAATAAAGTAAAAAAAAAAAAGCGAATAACTGAATAAAGACATAAGATAGAAAAGTTTAATGCTATACTGTGGAACATTCCAGCATAGCAGCATCTCCACGGACACGAGCTGAAAAGTGTCTTAGTGTGTCTTTACATTTTAGAACAGAAATGTAAACAAAAAAAACATTAAAATATGTGTTGTTGTTTTTTGTCGGACAGAAAGCCGCTCCAAACGGGACAAAGATCTGGGCCGCGACGATCGTCACTACGACTCGGAAGGACGAGAGCGTCGGGAGTCGAACCGGGAAGCTCGTGATAACCGTGAGCGAGAGAGTCAGAGGGACGGAGGAGCGGAACGGAGAGACAAGGAGCGAGAGCGAGAGAGGAAGGAGGAGGCGGAGGAGAGGAGCTACACCAGAGCTCACAGAGGAGACGAGAGAGACCGAGGAGAGAGGAGCGGACGCATCAGAGCACGAAACGAACCGCAGGACAAAGGTCAGGCCTCGTTTAGACCTGGTGTAGACCTGGTTTAGTCCTGGTTTAGTCCTGGTTTAGTCCTAGTTCAGTCCTGGTGTAGACCTGGTTTAGTCCTGGTTTAGTCCTGGTGTAGGCCTGGTTTAGACCTGGTTTAGTCCTGGTGTAGGCCTGGTTTAGACCTGGTTTAGTCCTGGTTAGTTAGTTCAGTCCTGGTGTAGGCCTGGTTTAGACCTGGTTTAGTCCTGGTGTAGACCTGGTTTAGTCCTGGTTTAGTCCTAGTTCAGTCCTGGTGTAGGCCTGGTTTAGACCTGGTTTAGTCCTGGTTTAAACCTGGTTTAGTCCTGGTTTAGTCCTGGTTTAGTCCTGGTGTAGGCCTGGTTTAGACCTGGTTTAGTCAATCTGTGTGTTATTTGTTCATAAATTTTTCAAAATAAAAACAAAAATAAGAAAACGTAAAAACAGGCCGTTTCCATGACTTAAACTGCGATGCCGGACTAAACCAGGACTAAAACAAGACTAAAACCGGACTAAACCAAGACTAAAACAGGTCCGGAACCAGACCGGAACTGACACCAGGACTTAGACCGGGAACAGGACAAGGACTGAGACCGGGACTGAGGCTGGGACCAGACCAGAACGGGACTGAGGACAGGACTGAGACCGGGCTGGGACTGAGGCCGGGACTGAGACCGGGACCGAGACCGGGACCGAGACCGGGACCGGACCAGAACGGGACTGAGGCCGGGCTGGGATTTAGACCGGGACCAGACCAGAACTGACACCAGGACTTAGACCGGGAACAGGACAAGGACTGAGACCGGGACTGAGGCTGGGACAGGACTGAGGCCGGGACGGGACCAGAATGGGACGGAGGCCGGGACGGGACTTAGACCGGGAACAGGACAAGGACTGAGACTGAGGCCGGGACCAGACCAGGACAGAAAATGGTTTAGTCCTGTTTTAGTCCTGGGTGATTAACTGATGTTTCTTCCTTTAGGCTCCAACAGAAACTCCAGAAGTTCTCAGCTGGAGAGCCACGAGAGCTGGGACTCACGCAGCAGTGGGACCTTAGACCGAGGACCAGACCGGAACTCGGACCGGGGCCTAGACCGAGGACCAGACCGAGGCCTCGACCGCGGTCCAGAAAGAGGATCCGAGAGAGACCGGTACGACTCAGACCGCAGGGACCAGAGGGACCAGAGAGACCAGGGCCGAGACTCGTCCTACGACCGAAGAGGAGGACACCAGGAGCGAGAGAGGAGGGACAGAGGTGAGCGGGACTGGACCGGGGCCTGGACCGGGGCCTGGACCGGGGCCTGGACCGGGGCCTGGACCGGGGCCTGGACCGGGGGACCGGGGCTGGACCGGGGCCTGGGCCTGGACCGGGGCCTGGACCGGGGCCTGGACCGGGGACTGGACCGGGGACTGGACCGGGGCCTGGACCGGGGACTGGACCGGGGCCTGGTCTGGGAGGGGATTAGAGATGGCAAACAGTGTCTCTTTTTTGCAACATCAAAACACTGAAACTTGATCTTTAATTTATCAGATTTTGCTTTTGTTTGAAAACCTCATTTCAACCTTTATAATTGAGTTAATTAATCAATCAGAACCACTTTATTTGTCCCTGACGGCTCAAAAGGTCGAGTCAGATTTGTGTCAGGGGAGAGTGAGGAGACTAACAGCCCTCAGGACAAAAGTGGTGAACAGAAAAGTCTCTTTTAAATCTTTAAACTGCACAAACTGATGCTCTTAGTTGATCAAAATCAAAATCCTATTTAACATAAAAATTTAAAAAGTTTAAAAACTGCTCAGGGTGTCAGCCAGTCAGCCACAAGAGCAGCCAACCACAACCATGGCAACCAAAAAGGAACTAATGTGTGACGCAATTGATCTAATAAAATATTTACACAGTCTGGGAATTTTTTAAATAAAAAAAAAAAAAAAAAAAACACATAAAAATAAATAAATAAATAAAAAACACATAAAAATGAATACATATTAATTAATTAAAACCATAAAATGGATTCAAACTAAAATCAGATTTAAAATTCACCAGAACACACAGAGATGTTTTGAATGCACTAAAATATTTGTTCCTCTTTTTGTAATGTTGGACTAAGCCTCAATAGTTTCAGGGGCCGGTGTTATAAATTATAAACACCATTAAAAAAAAACAAAAGTGCAGGGGCTGAACCAGGTCCAGACCTTGGACTGAAGCTTCTGACGGCTCCTCTCTTTGGTTTATTTAAGTAAACGTTCTGAGATAAAGGTTATAACGCCCTCTCTGAGTCTGAGACATGTCCAGACGAAGAAACCAGAGGAGTTCTGTGTGTGAACGATGTCGGAAATATCAACGGGAAATAAACAGGCTCCAGACTCGGATCTTTACTTTAGAATCCAGAAAAAGACTTCACCGGACACTCTCGGCGACACACAGAGGTAAGAAACACTGAAGAGAGAGACGGGAAACAACACTACGGCTGATTTAACTTAAACCTGAGACGCACTGAGCCAAAACTCTAAAGACAAAGTGACAGAATCAGCACAAAGTGATAAAATTTACCTCTGTCACAGTCTGAATTTAACAAACACTTCAACACTTCTTCTTTTTCCCTCTCTGTCGTGTTTTCATGGATTTGTCTTGACCTGCTCACGTTCAAGAAGCCTTTTGAGTTGGTTTTAGCCGAGCCGTTTGCGTGTTCCCATCGGTAGGGGACGTCCAAACTCTCAAACTGAAAATAGATTTTTGTCTGAGGACTGGAGCCTTGAAGGGAGCTCAGAGTCTGTGCCAAATGTCGAGGTCAGACGTTGTTTCTCGGAGACGTGTGATCGGTGTAAACAAGAGGAATCAAACACGCTGCTTTAACTGTGTCACAAACAACACTCCCAGAGTTAAACAGCTGATCCAGCACACGGACCAGTGGACCTCAGGAAGAAACAGACTCTGCTGCTTCTGTCTGTCCACCGCGTTTGCCCTCAGCGTCTGGGAGGGCATCTGTAGCTCTGCTCTAAACTGGTTCTGGTCCAATCTAGACCCTCCTGAAAATGAGAATTAACTCTCAAAGTTCTCACCTGTATAAATAAAGATTAAGAGAAGACAGGAAGTACTTTGTTGACGTTGGGATCTGCTTTGGGTAACTGGGAGGTCTGGGATCATTCCGAAGTTGCCAATACGATACACACCTCAATACAGTGATATTACGATTTGATACGATTCAATATGATATATTTCATTAGATTTTATATGATTCAATAAAAAATAAAGTCTACATCATGGCTGTGATACTAAAAGTCTTTGTTAAATCACTTCTTGTGCAGAGTTAATATGAAACACAAATATTTTAATCCTCAAAACAATGAAATTGTCAAATATGTCACATAAACGAGTTTCCTTCCTCTAAACCAAGAGTCTCCAAACTGTAAAATTTGATTAATTAATTAAAAATGTCTATTACCATTGTACATCGATGCCTGACTTTGTGCACTAATAAATGGACAGTGGTTTATGTTTTATAGGCGTCTCACCGCACCCCAAGACTCGACCTCTTTCTTATAAACGTCTCAGTTTCTCTGGGATTTTTGTTTTGTAAAAGTGGCTCACTGGAGTTTAAAAAAGGTTGGAGACTCCTGCTCTAAATAAACAACAAAAATGTAGCTGGAACTAAATAACTTAGTAAAATAAACCAAAAAATCCTCTTGGAAATATATCGATACAGCAGCCCATGATATCCAGACTGGATCGTCACTTTAAACGATACGATATATTGATATTTAGATATTTTTGCACTCCTCTTGTAACTGTGGGTTCCTCAGGGGTCGATCTTGGGCCTCCTCTGTTCAGTCTCTGTGATAAAGCATTTATTTATTCTGTTAATTAGTTTGTGGGGAAAAAAGTTGGAAAAAACTGGACCGGACAAGTACAAAAGCAAAGTACAAAACAGGACTAGACCAGGATTCAAACATGGGACTAAACTGTGACCAAACATAAACTCTTCAGACCTGAACCAGGACCAGACCAGGAGGACTAAACTAAATATGAAACTAAACTTTTTCCATAACTGTTGAGTCTTTCTAAAGTCCTGGTTTAGTCCTGGTTTGGTTCTGGTGTAGAAAATGTTAAATAATCCTTGAACATAGATTTTAATACCAATGATAAAATGATCGCCGAGTTATTGATGTTTTTTGTTTTTGTTTTTGTTCCAGAGCAGAGATCTCCTCCGAACCGCCACCAGAGCCGAACCGACGACTGCGAACGAGAGCGAGACGACAGGAGAGGAGAGAGGGATGAGCGCAGGGAGAGGGAGAGAGAGAGGGAGCAGAGGGAGAGAGAGAAGGAGCGAGAGGCCGAGCGAGAGCGAGCGAGGGAGAGGGAGCAGAGGGAGCAGAGGGAGAGAGAGAGGGAGCAGAGGGAGAGGGAGAGAGAGAGGGAACAGAGAGAGAGGGAGAGGGAGGAGAGGGAGAGAGAGAGGGAGAGGAAGGAGAGGGAGGAGAGGAGAGAGAGGGAGCAGCGGCAGAGGGAGTGGGACGACCGAGAGCGGAGGAGAGGGGAGGAGAGAGAGGAGAGAGGGACGAGAGACGACCGAAAAACCAGGTGAGAAAGAGACAGAGTTCTGTTATTCACTGAAACAAATGTTCTTCAACAGGTTTAAATCACACACTTTGGAAACAAAATGCTCCAGATTCTATTAAAAAGTCTCTGCACCTGATTTTTACTGCTTTAAAATGTGAAAAACAAAACTAGTTCATTTTAAAGAGCCACCAAAATCACCAGAATCACTTCTCCTGATTCTCAGTGTAAATGTGTCTAAAATAGAAGTGTGTCTCTGCATGAAAATGCTAAAATAAGTCCAGAGACAGATTTGTTAAAAAATGACTTTTGGGTCAAAGTCGTGTCTGTATCTGCCTCTTTAGGATCAACTATAGTCAGAATATTTGAATTTTCAGCTTGGACTAACGGGAGCAGATGAGTCAGTCCAGGAAAGAGAGACTCCTCCTTTAAACAGAAACGCAGGACTCATCTGTGTGTATTTACAACTCCATCCTCAAACCTAAATCAAAACAAAGAAAAAGTGATGCCAGGTCAGGTCCAGAGGTGTGAAAGCTCCATTATGGCCCTGAATGATTCTGCTGATATGTCCGCACACTCAGAGCAGCTCAGTAGCCTTAAAGGTTTAATGGTTTAGTGGTTTAGTAGAAGACTGCGTCGCGGTGACTGTTTTGTTTCTCCTGGTTTGGAGGGACGTAGTCAAGGCTGGGGGCAGTTGTTGTGAAGGCGTCACTCTAACTATAAAGCGCTGCACTTAGATTTATAGATTATATAGGTTTATAAAGCACTGCCCCAATCACGGACGAGTTCCTCGTGAATATTAAAAAGTCGTGCCTCTGTGGAGCTGCACATGTAGAGGCTGAATGTAAACACACAAACTGAACAAACTCACTCGTCCACAGACCTGCACCGACTGAAACGTCCTGTACTGAAACGATTTGGTACAAATACATGTACACTCCTAGTGGGCCCATCTAACTAACAAACTGTAAACAATGTGTGTTAGTTCCAGAGGAGTTTCAGTGTAGTTAGCTCCTCCTGCAGACAGATACAAGACACCAGAGTCTGACAGAACTGAAGAAACAACTTCAACTTGGATGAGCTGAGAAACTGACTCCACCAAAATAAATGTTTTGTCCATTTGACAAATTGAATTTCTCCTTTTGCCTTTTGATTTTTATTTTTTTTGTCATTCAGTTTTTATTGGATTTTCATCTTGTATAAGGACACACATTAAAAATAGACAATATTCAAACAGTAAGAACAAAACAAGACAGTAGGCGTAGGTATACAGACATAACTACGTCATACAAAGTCGGGTCTTTTTGTCGTTACATACTCATTTTTGCCTTTTTAAAGCAGAATAAGTTTTTATTCAGAGTTAAATTATTTTTATTTGGTTTTTAAAGTTCTCATGTAAACGTGGTAAATGTGGAACATTCCAGACAAACTAATAACGTCTCCACAGAGAAAAGTGTTTGACAGATCCTCCTCCAGAAAAGTTACACACTGCACGTATAAGTCATTTCTCTGATCACTACTTTGAACTTCTACTGTAGTAATATTATTTTGAAGTAAAAGTACTCCTCCTCTGACCTCTGACCTCCCTCCAGCAGGAAGCGTCACCGCGCCGACGGGAGCCAGAGTCCGCGCTCTTCGCCCAAACGCCCGGCCCGCGACGCCCGAGACGCCAGCCCCAACGACAGCGACGAGGACAAAAGTGAGCGTCTGATTGGTCGAGGGAAGACCAAGCCCCTCCCACCCAGCCCCCAGTGCCCGCCTCCATCTGACAGTAATACAAAAAACTCTATTTCCCAAGATCCTCTGCTCCTTCTGTGGGGAAAAGGCTTATTTTACTTTGGTATTCTGAACCGGGACTAAACAAGGACTAAACCGTGACTAAACTGGGACTGAAACGAGGACTAAACCGGGACTGAAACAAGGACTGAACTGAGACTAAACCAGGGACTAAACCAGGGACTAAACCAGGGACTAAACCAGGGACTGAAATGGGACTAAAACTAGGACTGAAACTAGGACTAAACTGGGACTGAAACTAGGACTGAAACTAGGACTAAACTAGGACTGAAACGAGAACTAAACCGGGACTGAAACGAGGACTAAACCGGGACTGAAACGAGGACTAAACCGGGACTGAAACGAGGACTAAACCCGGACTGAAACAAGGACTGAACTGAGACTAAACCAGGGACTAAACCAGGGACTAAACCAGGGACTGAAATGGGACTGAAACTAGGACTGAAACTAGGACTAAACTGGGACTGAAACTAGGACTAAACTGGGACTGAAACGAGGACCAAACCGGGACTGAAACGAGGACTAAACCCGGACTGAAACAGGGACTAAATCGGGACTAAACCGGGACTCAACCAGGACTGAAACAAAGACTAAACCAGGACTAAACCAGAACAAATTTTTCCTGTTAAAACTCCAGAAGGAAAATGTATAAATCAAAGTCTAATTGGTTTTATAAAACATAAACTCCTTTAATCCGTAAACACAAAAATGACCAAAGTTAAATAATTCTTCATAAACTTTCAGTGTAATTTTAATTTCTGGGCACTTTTTTGGTGAATTTCTATTTATTGTTTTTACATTTTCTAAAGTCGGTGGCTCAAACTCCTCTCTGTATTTTCCAAACTTTCCTCTTATCGAACTTTTACACTTCGGGCTGCAACGATTAATCGAAAAACTGTGACGATATTAACATTTCAAACTCTTATTTAGATTCTGAGGAACGCAGCACCGTTTTAGTGTCAAACAACAACAAAAACAGATTTTGACCTTTATTTCCAATATTTAATTTAGAGTTTATTTTAAATAACACTAATCAAAAAACATTGGTGTCTGTTTTTAATTCTGATATTTTATTCTCTGGTTTATTTGCCCCGGAAGTTCAGCTGCTAGAAGAGAAAAGTGCGTTACAGTCGTCTAAACGAGAGGAGATAAAAACGTGTGTTCAAATTATTTAAAAGATAACAATTAATTTTAGATAAATTAGATAGAATTTAGATACATTTTAGATGAAAGGCAGAGCTCTGGATTTATTGTCAGTCTCCGTTCCTCCCCTCACCTCTGCTCATGACCCGAAGGACCAGATCCACGATACAAGCGACACAAATGAGTTTCCTCCGCAGGGCGTCCGGGCGTCTCCCTCAGAGACAGAGCTTGGAGCTCGGAGTAGAGCCGCTGCTCCTCCACGTGGAGAGGAGCGTCTGAGGGGAGGACGTCTGTGTCTCTGGACTCTCCTGGGAAAGCGTGACCTGTTCAAATGATCCATCCATCCATTTTATTCCGCTTATCCGGGGTCGGGTCGCGGGGCCATCAGTCTGAACATTGACTCCCAGACTTCCTTCACCCCAGACACTTCCTCCAGCTCCTCCAGGGGACCCCGAGGTGTTCCCAGTCCAGTCCAGAGACATCGTCCCTCCAGTGTGTCCTGGGTCTTCTCCTCCTCCTGCTGGGACATGAACACCTCCTGAGGGACACGTCCAGGAGACATCAGGACAGACGTCCTCCCCTCAGACGCTCCTCTCCACGTGGAGGAGCAGCGGCTCTACTCCGAGCTCCTCACTCTATTTCTAAAGGAGCGCCCAGTCACCCTGCAGAGGAAACTCATTTCAAGCGCTTGTATCCGCGATCTCGTCCTTTTGGTCATTACTGTTCAAATGATTTAGAAGATAAAAAGATTTAATTTTAGATAAAAGCCGCAAATGATAAAATTCAGATTTAACAACTGCGTTCACTTGTTTGTCAAATTTTAAATTAGTGTCACTAGTGACGCCGACTGTTTTACCTGCTGTTATTCATAAACAACAAATTTAGTCATTTGTGGAGGAAATAATGGTACTTAAAAAAATTGCGATTTGCAGAGTTCCGACGGTCATGGAAATCCTGGAAAAGTCAGGGAATGTTTGTCTCACTTTCCCTCAGCTCCAGCGTTCTGTTAAGTTCTCCTGAGGCTTTTATGATTACTTCTGAACGTTTTGTTTAAAAAAGATGACAATAAATGTAAAATAAAATAAAATGTTCAAAAACTATAATCCCAAAGTCATGGAAAATTCACTTAAGCTCATGAAAAAGTCATGGTTTTGAAATTTTGTCAGAGTGGGAAGCGTCTTGCGTTCATTCAAAGTTCTGTTTGGGTTAATCGTGCAGCTCGATTTACACCACAGACTTTAAAGTGATTTTGATCCACGGTTTTTTAAAACGTGTGATATTTTCTTGTGTTTTCAGGTGATAAACATCGTCTGCTGAGTCAGGTGGTGCGACCCCAGGACCCGCCGCTCCGCTCGCCGTCCAGAACCGCCGCCGCCTTCGAGGACGAGCGGCGAGGAGGAGGAGGCACCGAGAAACGAGCGGATGCACGGAACCGCCACGAAGAACCCGAAACCCGCCCCCGACCCGGCGAGCGGCGAGGAGAACGCGACCCCGAACCCATCCAGGAAACACGGAGCAGAACCCGAGAGCCGCGCCAGTCGCCGACGCCGATCATGGACGACTCCGGGTCGCACGACGAGGCCAAGAAGAAGGGCAAGTCCCAAAAGAAAGCGCTGAAGAAGGGGAGGAAGGAGGAGGAGATGGGCGTGAAACCGGCGGCGGCGAACGTGAACGCCGACTCGTCAAACTCCGACCAACATTCGCCGCGGAAAGGAGCGAAGAAGAAGGCGCTGGATCGAAAGAGGAAGAGGGGAGGAGGAGAGTCCGACGTCTCCGAGGACGAAATGGCGAACAAACGTAAACGAGGACCCAAGACGCCGCCCAAAAACCTGTCGCCGCTGCAGAAGATGGACCACTTCAGCGACTGGTCGGACGAGGAGGTGACGGAGAGCGTGTCCGAGCGGCGAGTGGGAGGAGCCAGGCCTGGGAGAGAGCGCGAGAGGGACAGAGGTGTCAATCCTCCTCCTCTGCTCTCGCAAGACGCCGCCATTTTGATCCCGAGTTTAACGCCGCAGCCGCTGATGTCACAACCGCTGCTACGGAAACCACCAGGTAAAAAAAAAAATCATCTTATTAAAGGTTCTGTAATAAAATAAACTTTAATCATGTTTTGATGTTGTTTCCTCATCACACTCAGAGCTGGAGTTGTTTTGTTTCATTCACATTTGAGTAATTCTCTATCTACGTCTACAAAGCTCCAAACGCTCTGCTCCACCTTGTGATGTCATGAAGTGTTGAAATGTTTTTAAGTTCTCAGCTCCTTTTTCCTTTAGTTCAGTCGAGATCGGTGACTCCAGGACTGAAATGATCCAAATGATTCCAGTGAAAGTGTGTGGAGTTTAGGAGGTTTAGTTCTGGTTTAGATCTGGTTTAGTCCTGGTTTATTATTGGTTTAGGTCCAGTTTAGACCTGGTTTAGACCTGTAGACCTCACTGAACCACGACTGAACCAGGTTTACAACAAGTCTAAACCTGGTCTAAACCTAGACTAGACCAGGACTGGACCAGGTTAAAAACAAGTCTAAACCTGGACTAAACCTGGTCTAAACCTGGACTGAACCTGAACTGAACCTGGACTGAACCAGGTCTAAAACAGGTCTAAACTTGGCTCAGTCCTGGTCTAGACCCGGGTTAGTCCTGAAACTGTAGTATTCAAGTTCTCAGCTCCTTTTCTCTTTAGTTCAGTCGAGGTCAACGACTCCAGGACTGAAAAAATGATCCAGGTGATTCTAGTGAGTTTAAAAACGGTTCTAGTGAGTTTAAAAGTGGAGCACTTCCTGTATCACCACATGATGACATCACAGGGTGGAACAGTGTTTTTAATCTGAGAGAAGAACTTGTGTTAAATGTGCAGAGTGTGACATGTGAATGAAACAAAACACAACCCCTGTGTGTGTGTGTGTGTGTCATGTGACTTTTTCTTTCGAGTTGTTGGTTCGATGCTTTAATTCAGTGTTTAAATGTAAAATATCAGACGCTGGAGCCGACTGGCGCCTGTGCTCACTTCCTGTTTGGAACATGTAAACATCCAGCACTTCAGAATCACACTGATACAGATCCAACATGTACGGACATTTGACAAACTGAACACATCTGTACTGAACACGAGACACGAGTCCCTCGGCCAATCAGGACGCAGCGAGAGGAACACCGTGCACCTTCATACACTGAAAAAAAAGACAAAGGCAAAAATTACAAAATAAAAAAATCTGCAAAATGGTGAGACCACGAAAGGTGAACCGCGACACAGCGAGGGACGACTGTGTTTCTGTTTCCTGACGTGTCGTTTGTTTTCTTCGTTCTTCAGGAGACATGGCGGCGGGTCGGAGCGGAGCCATGGGCGGCGTCCAGGGGAGAGCGCCCGGCAGGAGGCCCCGGTCCCCCTCCAGCGAGACCAGAGACGACCCCCAGAGGAACCGACGAGGGAGAGGAGCCCCGCCGCAGATCAACCCCCGAGAACGAGAGCGAGAGCGGGACAGAGAACGAGAGCGAGAGCGTGAGCGCCCCCTGGGGGACGCAGCCGCAGGGACAGAGAGGAAATCAAGAATCGACCAACTCAGGAGAGGAGAACCCAGCAGGAGCACATCCTCTGGTACAACAGGACCAGGACCAGGACCAGGACTGGACCAAGGACTAAAGTGGGACTAAACCATGATTAAATCAGGACTAAAGTGGGACTAAACCAGGGATTAAACCAGCGATTAAACCGGGATTAAAGTGAGACTAAAACCCGGGACTAAACAGGGACTAAAGCGGAACTAAAATTGAGAATAAATTTGGACTGAAGTGGGACTAAACCTGGGACTAAACCAGGGACTAAAGTGGAACTAAAGTTTGACTACAGCGGGACTAAACCGGGAATGAATCAGGAACTAAACCAGGGACTAAACTGGGACTAAACCAAGGAGTCAACCAGGACTAAAACAGGATTAAATTAGGACTAAACTAGGACTAAACTGGGTCTAAACCAGGACTAAAGTGGGACTCAACCCAGGACTAAACCAGGATTAAATTAGGACTAAACCAGGACTAAACCAGGACTAAAGAGTGTTTTTTAAACCCGTCTGTTTGTCTTCAGACCGTCAGGATTCTCGGAGTCACAGTTCCAGACGCAGTTCTCCGGACTCGGAGCGCCAGGCCCGGTCCAGGTCCAGAGCCGGGTCCTACGACAGCCGAGACCGGGACCGAGAGCCCCGAGCCCAGGCCCAGCCCGGGCACCCGCCTCACGCCGCCCACCCGCCCCACCTCCTGCAGAACCCGCCGGCGCCGGCGCAGACCCGGGACTGGGACCCCGACGCCCGAGACTGGAGCTGCGGACGAGGACGAGACCGAGAACCGCTCCTGCACCGACCCAACCGAGACCGCGACCGAGACGCCGCCCACCGAGGAGGAGACAGGGCCGACAGGGGCGACAGGGGGCAGGACAGGAGCGACAGGGGGCAGGACAGGGGCGACAGGGGAGAGTTTGAACCGCTCCTGCCCAGAGAAGCGTTCAGCCCCCCCCCGGAAAAACCAAACCACCAACCAGAACCCAGAGACGCCGGAAAGACCGAGAGTCTGGAGGGTAAGAGACAAGTACTACTACAAATACTACAAATACTACTGCAAATATTACTACTAATACTACTACTACAAGACCGAGAGTCTGGAGGGTAAGAGACAAATACTACTACAAATACTACAAATACTACTGCAAATATTACTACTAATACTACTACTACAAGACCGAGAGTCTGGAGGGTAAGAGACAAATACTACTACAAATACTACAAATACTACTGCAAATATTACTACTAATACTACTACTACAAGACCGAGAGTCTGGAGGGTAAGAGACAAGTACTACTACAAATACTACAAATACTGCAAATATTACTACTAATACTACTACTACAAGACCGAGAGTCTGGAGGGTAAGAGACAAGTACTACTACAAATACTACAAATACTACTGCAAATATTACTACTAATACTACTACTACAAGACCGACAGTCTGGAGGGTAAGAGACAAGTACTACTACAAATACTACAAATACTACTGCAAATATTACTACTAATACTACTACTACAAGACCGAGAGTCTGGAGGGTAAGAGACAAGTACTACTACAAATACTACTAATACTACTGCAAATATTACTACTAATACTACTACTACAAGACCGAGAGTCTGGAGGGTAAGAGACAAGTACTACTACAAATACTACTGCAAATATTACTACTAATACTACTACTACAAGACCGAGAGTCTGGAGGGTAAGAGACAAGTACTACTACAAATACTACTGCAAATATTACTACTAATACTACTACTACAAGACCGACAGTCTGGAGGGTAAGAGACAAGTACTACTACAAATACTACAAATACTACTGCAAATATTACTACTAATACTACTACTACAAGACCGAGAGTCTGGAGGGTAAGAGACAAGTACTACTACAAATACTACAAATACTACTGCAAATATTACTACTAATACTACTACTACAAGACCGAGAGTCTGGAGGGTAAGAGACAAGTACTACTACAAATACTACAAATACTACTGCAAATATTACTACTAATACTACTACTACAAGACCGACAGTCTGGAGGGTAAGAGACAAGTACTACTACAAATACTACAAATACTACTGCAAATATTACTACTAATACTACTACTACAAGACCGAGAGTCTGGAGGGTAAGAGACAAGTACTACTACAAATACTACTGCAAATATTACTACTAATACTACTACTACAAGACCGAGAGTCTGGAGGGTAAGAGACAAGTACTACTACAAATACTACAAATACTACTGCAAATATTACTACTAATACTACTACTACAAGACCGACAGTCTGGAGGGTAAGAGACAAGTACTACTACAAATACTACTGCAAATATTACTACTAATACTACTACTACAAGACCGAGAGTCTGGAGGGTAAGGGACAAGTACTACTACAAATACTACAAATACTACTGCAAATATTACTACTAATACTACTACTACAAGACCGACAGTCTGGAGGGTAAGAGACAAGTACTACTACAAATACTACAAATACTACTGCAAATATTACTACTAATACTACTACTACAAGACCGACAGTCTGGAGGGTAAGAAAATACTACTAATACTACTACAAATACTACTACTACTACTACTACTACTAATACTACTGCTACAAGACCGAGAGTCTGGAGGGTGAGAGGAAAATACTACAACTGCAAATGCTACTACTACTGCAAGTACTACTGCTAACACTACAAATACTACTGCTGCTACTACTGTTACTCACACAAACACAAACGAGAGCCTTTCAAAATAAAACCTAAATACGAATACTAAATATACAAAAATAAAATACTAAATACTACAAACTAAAAAATGTACAAATCCACGTGTGTTTGTAAAAACAAAATACAAGTGATAAATGTTGGTGAAAGAACAAAAATGTGTGTGTTTGCTGCAGATGTTCTAATCAGTAGGAGCAGGTAGGAGGCGCTGTTGGAAAAGGATCAAAACTCAGACACAGACTTTAGCTCCAAACATGTCGGCTTTGGCCATTCAAATAAAGACCTTTTTATATTTTCCTCGTGCGATGAGTTTTTCTACTTGTTTGGCGTCGCCTGGAGTCCGTTGTGTTTGATAAATGTTTGTGTTTGTTTCCAGCGGAGGACGAGGGCAAAGACGACGACGTTCAGTCTGTGGCTTCAGCCGGAGAAGTTTACGAACCGATCAGCGACGACGAACTGGACGAGATCCTCAACGACAGTCAGAAGAAAGACGAGCAGACGGACGACGAGAGGACCACAGGTGAGAGGACGACAGGTGAGAGGACCACAGGTGAGAGGACGACAGGTGAGAGGGGGGACCACAGGTGAGAGGACCAACAGGTGAGAGGGGGACAGGTGAGAGGACCACAGGTGAGAGGGGGACAGGTGAGAGGACCACAGGTGAGAGGACCACAGGTGAGAGGACAGGGAGACAGGTGAGAGGACCACAGGTGAGAGAACCACAGGTGAGAGGGGGACAGGTGAGAGGACCACAGGTGAGAGGACAGGGGACAGGAGGACCACAGGTGAGAGACCACAGGTGAGAGGACCACAGGTGAGAGGACCACAGGTGAGAGAACCACAGGTGAGAGGACAGGGGGACAGGTGAGGACCACAGGTGAGAGAACCACAGGTGAGGACGACAGGTGAGAGGACCACAGGTGGGAGGACGACAGGTGAGGACGACAGGGGGACAGGTGAGAGGACCACAGGTGAGAGGACGACAGGTGAGGGCGACAGGGGGACAGGTGAGAGGACCACAGGGGGACAGGTGAGAGGACCACAGGGGGACAGGTGAGAGGACACAGGTGAGAGGACACAGGGGGACAGGTGAGAGGACAGGGGACAGGTGAGAGGACCACAGGTGAGAGGACCACAGGGGGACAGGTGAGAGGACCACAGGGGGACAGGTGAGGACGACAGGGGGACAGGTGAGAGGACGACAGGTGAGGACGACAGGGGGACAGGTGAGAGGACGACAGGGAGGACGACAGGGGGACAGGTGAGAGGACCTGGTTCTTGGAGCTCGTCTCTTCTGGAACAGTCCGTCCTGTTTGTCCTGACGTCTCCATCACAGCAGGAGAAACATGAACGTCCCGTAATCGTCCGTAATCGTCCCGTAATCGTCCCGTAATCGTCCGTAATCGTCCGTAATCGTCCCGTAATCGTCCCGTGTCCCGTCAGGTCCGGTGGACGTGATCGACGTGGACTGGTCGTCTCTGATGCCCAAACAGAAGAGTGGGCAGCGAGCGTCGGGGGCGGCGCTGCTCCGCTTCACTCCGGGCGCCGTCCTCCTCAGAGCCGGAATCTCCAAACGCCTCGCGGGACCGGAACTCCTCGAGAAGGTCCGAGAGGTCTGCAAAGGAGAACTGGACGACCCCAAAGGTCAGACCTGAGAGAGACCTGGTTTAGACCTGGTTTAGACCTGGTTTAGACTCCTGGTTTAGTCCTGGTTTAGACCTGGTTTAGTCCTGGTTCAGTCCTGGTTCACTTTGTTGTTCGTCCATTTTGTTTCAGACGCAGACAAACTGTTTGAACACGACCTGGGGGCGCTCAACATGGCCGCCCACAGCCGCCGCGTGGAGAGGGCGGGGCTTCTGAGGAACCTGGGGCCCTGCTGTAAAGCTCTGTGTGCCCGGAGAGACTTCGCCATCCGGAGACAACTGCTCAAGAACGACAAGGTACAAGGACCGGGGTTTAGATAAACCGGGGTTTAGACCCGGGTTTAGACCTGGGGTTAGACTGACGTTAGACCGGGTTTAGACCGGGGTTTAGACCCGGGTTTAGACCCGGGTTTAGACCCGGGTTTAGACCGGGGTTTAGACCGGGTTTAGATGCAGGATTAAACAGGGTCAGACTGAGTTTAGACGGGGTTTAGTTCTGTGAGACTCTGTGTGTGAAGGAAACAGCTGCTCAGAAACTACAAGGTAAAAAAGAATGGGTTTGGTCCTGGTTTAGTTCTAGGTTTAGTCCTGCTTTAGTCCTGCTTTAGTCCTGCTTTAGTCCTGCTTTAGTCCTGGTTGCCTGCTTTAGTCCTTTTAGTCCTGTTTAGTCCTGCTTTAGTCCTGCTTGAGTCCTCTCTGTTTTTCCTCAGGGTTTGACGAAGCAGTACTTGACGACTCCGGTCGTGGATAATGAACTCTTTCAGATGAGCGTCCGTCTGTTCAAACGAGCCGTGTCTGGATCCGGACCGGGACCAGGACCGGGACCTGGACCGGGACCAGAAAGACCCCAGGACCCTGGACTCGGACCAGAGACCGGGACTAAACTGGAGTCCGGTCCGGCTGAAGTCTGTGTGACCTGAAGAAGACGAGGAGGAGGAGGAGCGTGTGGACTCTGAGACGAGGCTCACGCAGGTTTTTCTGTCAGTGCAGCGACTTCACCACAAACACCACGTTTCAGCAACAAAAAACTCATAAATCTGTCAGTATTTTACTCCAAAATTTAATCTCAATAAATTTAAATGTGTTCTTTAAAAACAGACTTGTGCCCACGATGGATTTCCCTGAACGCTGAAACTAAACGCGATAAAAACCACGAAAAGAACCTGAAAATAAAAACGCCTTAAAGATTCACTGTGGAACTTTTCACGTGCAGATTCTGCCACCGGCTCGTCTCCATGGAGATGTAAATTACATTTTTAGAGACGCGGAAATGTTGGAAAAAATGTCTGAAAATACAAGGATAAAAACAGGACCAAACCAGGACTGGATTTGAATAAAAACCCGGACTGAACCAGGTCTGGATCTGGTCTGGATCTGGTCTAAACTTTCCTTTGTCACATCTTTTATTAGTCCAGACTTTAAATTGAAAGCTCAGATCCAAAGATAATTTATTTTCTAACATTTTAAAGCTCCTAAATTACGCAAAACTGACTCCTGTGAGCTTTAATCCAGGTTCTAACGTTGTTCCCGCCTCAAAAACAAATCTGGAGTCGTGTGTTTTGTTTGAGAGAAAAACTCTAAACTCTAAACTCTAAAATGTGCAGCGTTCAAGTGTTAGACTTGTGAATGAAACAAAACACAACAATCCTTGTGTTGTTCGTTCATTTGTTTTTCAAAATAAAAATAAAAAAATGAAAAAAAAACACAAATATTTTCTTCTTTGTCTCTAAAACCAAAATGAAAAACGATAAAGATTTGTTTTTTCAGTTTTTGATTTTGTGTTTGAATGAACTAAACTAGAAAAAAAAGAGGACTAAACCAGGTCTAAACCAGGTCTAAACCAGGTCTAAACCAGGTCTAAACCAGGTCTAAAACAGGACTAAAACAGGACTGAAATAGGTTTGGGAAGAGACCAGAACCAGACTGGGACAGAGACAAAGACTTGGACCAGGTCGGCATTGAGACCGGGACCAGACTGGGACTGAAACCGGGCTTGGACCGAGGCCGGGACCGAGGCAGGGACTGAAAACGGTTTAGTCCTGGTTCAGTCCATTATCCGTTTTTTCCATTTTTCCCATTTTTCATTTAAATACAAAATCTAAAACTGAAAAAAAATAAAATAAAAATCATAATCTGTTTTTTTTTTTTTTTTGGTTTGGAGACAAATTATAAAATAGTTGTTTCATTCATAGTTCATTTTTTCATTTTTTGTTTTATTTTAAAACAAATGAACGAACGACACACAGACTCACATCTCCGTTTGTGTTTTTGACGAGTAAACAACTTTAGACCAGCCCAGAAAACGCTGAAATATGAACCTTAAACTGCCAGATTTGTTAGAAAATAAGTGATATAAATGTGAATAAATAGAATTGTGTGTTTTTTTAGTTTTGTCTGAACATAAACTGATATTTCTGACGGGAGTTTAATCAGAAGTTGTGTATATTTGCGGACAGATTTGCGTGTGCGCTGACAGTCGAGCGAGTGCGTCTCGTCTCTCACACTTTCATGTATTTTTGTTTTTACAGACTGAAAAACTAAAACATCCACTAAAAAAACTAAAAAAACAGTTTATAGTTTCTTTGACTTTGTGACCAGAATCATCGTGTCATGATTTGGAGCCGTGGACTTTGTCTCGATGGAAGACGATTCAAAACACTTCAACTTCAACTGTCGCCGCCGTCATGTTTAAAACAGATTTTTACTCTCACTTTATTATTAACACTTTTGTTTTTCATTTTGTGCATAAACTGTATTAAACGGTTGATGTCGAAAATGTCTCTCTTGTCTTTTTGCTTCATTTAAGGATTATGGATTATATTTTTATTAAATTATCTGGGGGAATATTTCACTTTGGGTCATTCTGAAAAAGCAACACAAGTTTATTTATATTTTTTTATTTTTTGTTTCTTTGCTTTCACCAAAACAAAAAAGAAAAGTTTGTGTAAATTGAAGCTGGTTAGAACAGAACATAATTTTGAAAACTAATAAAAATACAATATTAATGTTGAGGCTAATGTGGAATTGTTCATAATTATAAAAAAATAAAAATTATAGCACAATTATATAAATAACTACAATTATGGACTCTAATGTTTAAGCAAAAAAAATTGTAAAAGAGCTGATAATTTATTACATACTGGATAAAAACAGAAAAGAACCCATTGGGGAAAAAAAAAAAAATTCTGGCTTCATAATATTAAAGCATTATTTTATAATAACTTAAATAAAAGAAGATTTAAACATAAACAAATATATTAATCCATAAGAGAAATTACTTGGTCACAGTAATTCATTCATTACAATATAAGAGACAAAAATTTATTAAAAATTCAAATGGCAAAAATAGAATAAAATAAAAATAATAATAATAAAATAAATGTAAAAAGAATAAATAAATACATAAATTTATAATAATAATACATAAAATAAATTAAAAATGTCAAACTAAAATTCTAAAATTTAAATGTAGAATAAATAGTTTGCAATTGTATATTTGTTATATTTTCTAAATTATTTGAGAAGTTAGATAAATAAATAGATGAAAATTGCAGAACGTCAATGTCAATAATCCACATAATTAAGGATTTTAAATGAGCCTGATGAAAATAAACATGTTTCAAGAGACTTCAGCTAAAAATAACGTGTAAAAATTGTAAAATAAAGGTTAAAATCACCAAAATATCAAATACAAGTTTAAAATCAAGAGGAATAACATGAATCATATAAAATACAAAATTACCAAACTGTAAAAATACAACGGACAAAATATGATATAATTTCAGCAAGTTTAACAATCAAATCATTAATTATACATATAGATAAATATCACGCACGAACAAAGAAATAAAATAAAAGCACAGGAGAAGTTATTTTAGTTGAATTATTTGTTTTAATCATTTTTAACTTAGGCGGAACTGTTTACTCGCCGCCTGTGGTTTCAGTCGAGCCTGATTTAAACCCGGACCCGATCCTTTACCCAGAATCCTCCGCGTGTGTTCCGTCCTTCTGACTTCCGCCTCACGCGCAGCCGAAGTGAGTATTTTGATCTGGATTTTTATTTTCCTCGATCCAACTCCATCCGCGGGATTTAAACCCTTTTTAACCCGCAAAAGTGTTAAAGATGAAGATTTAAACACGTTAACTCCGCGTCTGACCCGGTTTGAAGGTTTAAAAATGTGAAATAAAGCGGATTTTGAGCGGTGGAGTTTGAGTGACGCCGGGACGAGCCGCGGCGCTTTTTAACACTAAAAATCTGACTTAAATCTGCACAAAAACCCGCAGAAAACCGACAAAAAACTACAATTAAACATCACGGTTTAGTGCAGTGCGCTGTGGGTCATGTTTAATTATAATATTATCCTTATAAATTCATATAAAAGCGGAGAATAGAGGAGCCATGTTTGTAGTTTTTAGCATCGGAGCTAAACGGAGCCGCGAGGCTCAATTTAAGATTTTTCTACATTTAATCCAAATTTTGTGGATTTAAAAAGCAAAAGTTTAGCTCTGCTTTTTCACTGTGGTTTATAACGTGGTGTAGTTTGTGTGTTTTGGTGTAAATCTTTCCTCTTGTGAACATGAAGAATCATTAGAGTCTGAAATACAGAAATTAAAATGTTTGAATAAAAACCGCTGGACTAAAAGTGAAATTAAATCGTTTGTGGTTAAAACGAGAGATAAACAGCAGGTCTGATGTTCTGTTGTGACATTTTGCAGCTGCTTTTATTGGAGTTTTGTGAGTTATAATGTCACAAGAATTAAGTTAGAAAAGCTGTGGTTTTGTGCAGATTTTGTTCTTATTATGGCGGCACACTTAGTTTCCTCATTGATTGATTGTTGTGTTTAATTGTCATTTATGGCCTATGTCAGGGGTGTCCAAACTTTTTTCTTCAAGGGTCACATGTCGAAACACTGAAGCAGATGACTGAGGGCTGTGGACTGGTGGTCAGTGCAGTGAATAATTGAAATATGTGCATTTTTAACATGTTAGAATGAACCATCAGGCCTCTGTTCAAGCCTACAGTCTCAACACTCTAAATATTAGATATTGGCTTTATCAAGGTCGATTTTCACATAACTTGTAGTAAAAAGTACTTAAGGTCATTTGGGTCAGTTCACTTGGAAACCTGAGGGCCAAGAATAACTGATATGAGGGCTGCATTTGGCCCCAGGGCCATAGTTTGGACATGCCTGGCCTAAGTTATATTTCAGTTGAATGATCAGAGCTCAGATTTTGAGCTGGTGTCATGGAGAAGTTGCTGATACGTTTCATATTTTGATACAGTGAACTTTTGATCTGATTCGATATATTTCAATTCAATACAGTTCAATAAATATCAAGTTTAAATCATGTGTGAGACACTAAAAGTCTTTGTTAAATCACTCGTGTGTAAAGTTAAAATGAAACACAAACATTTAAATCTCAAAACAGTGAAAATGTCAAACGAGTTTCCTTCCACTAAACAAACAAAACTGGAGCTGGAACTAAATAATCTTGTAAAATGAACCAAAAAATCCTCAAATTTAAATATATATTTGTACATCCCTGTTTTTAATAACATAAAAAGTTTCAGTGTGATTTTCCTGAGTCGACGTTGGTGCAGGTTTTTAGATTTAAACCGGCTCCACAGTCCTCTCCTCTGGTGATGTAAACGTGTTTCTGACTCAGTTCAGACCAACCAAAATGACAACTGTTGAAAGTATGTGTTTGTTTTTTGTAGATGGCCCCAACAAAGAAAGGAGAGAAGAAAAAGGGGCGTTCTGCCATAAACGAGGTGGTGACCCGAGAGTACACCATCAACGTGCACAAGCGCATCCACGGAATGTGAGTCAAACGCTTCTGATGAGCTTTAATCAGGACGTTTATTCCTCTTTTCTGTGGGACAATGAGCTGCATTTGTGTTCATTTTGTACATTTCTACAGAAGAGATAAACATTTGAGAACGTGAATCTTAAACATGTCCAGAGGTTTTGTCTCAGCTGGTCTGGTTTTTCTCGTGTTAAACTTGATTATTTTCCTGGTTTCAGTGGGTTCAAGAGACGCGCTCCTCGTGCCATTAAAGAAATCCGAAAATTCGCCATGAAGGAAATGGGAACTCCAGACGTGAGAATCGACACTCGCCTCAACAAGGCCGTGTGGAGCAAAGGCATCAGGTACAACTACACACAAATGTACTTTATAATCTATGTAACGATAAATAAAAATACGACTATAAACATAAACTAATCTAAGCCAGGGGCATCAGGTACAAATCCTGTGGATTTTTATTTTTAGTTCACATTTGTCCTGCTGCTGTGGCCAACATTTGTTGATACTGATATTTACCTTTTAAAAGTCACAAGTTTAAAGATGACAAACTCATGTTTGTAAAAAAATAAAGTGTATATCTGTAAACTGTATTTATCTGGGATTTAAAATTCCGAGATTGTGTAAAGTTCAGACGTAAAATGCTGTTTCCATTTTGTTTCATGAATCTGTAGAGAAAAGTCTCACGCGACGGGAGATCGGCCGATATATCGACTGAAACAGATATGTCGGTTTTTGTTTTTTTTTAAATTGTTATTTCATGAATGGACAAATTTAATCTTTTTCACTTTTACAGTTTTAGATTCTTTTTAAAATATATAAACGGGGCAACTTCAGTCACATCTTTGTCATTCAGTAAAACTGAAACACAAATCACAGAGAAACAGAAGAAGAATCTGTAGAAGTTTGTGCTGTTTCAGTTTCCTGTTTGTTGATGTGAGTCAAACCGTGCAGATGTTTAAATCGTTTTGTGTGTTTGTTTTGTGTTTCAGGAACGTTCCGTACAGGATCCGAGTGCGTTTGTCCCGGAAAAGAAACGAGGACGAGGATTCTCCAAACAAACTGTACACTCTGGTCACCTACGTCCCCGTCACCACCTGCAAAGGTCCGACTCACACACACACACACACCCCCCCCTGTGTGTGTCTGTGTGTGTGTGTGTGTCTCTGTGTGTGTGTGTCTGTGTCTGTCTGTGTGTGTGTGTGTGTGTGTGTCTGTGTGTGTGTGTGTGTGTCTGTGTGTGTCTGTGTGTGTGTGTGTGTGTGTGTGTGTGTGTGTGTGTGTGTGTGTCTGTGTGTGTGTGTGTGTGTCTGTGTGTCTGTGTGTGTGTCTGTGTGTGTGTGTGTGTGTGTGTGTGTGTGTGTGTGTGTGTGTGTGTGTGTGTGTGTGTGTGTCTGTGTGTGTGTGTGTGTGTGTGTCTCTGTGTGTGTGTGTGTGTCGTGTGTGTGTCTGTGTGTGTGTGTGTGTGTGTGTCTGTGTGTGTGTGTGTGTGTGCTGTGTGTGTGTGTGTGTGTGTGTGTCTGTGTGTGTGTGTGTGTGTGTGTGTGTGTGTGTGTGTGTGTGTGTGTCTGTGTGTGTGTGTGTGTGTGTGTGTGTGTGTGTGTGTCTGTGTGTGTGTGTCTGTGTGTGTCTGTGTCTGTGTGTGTGTGTGTGTGTGTGTGTGTGTGTGTGTCTGGTGTGTGTGTGTGTGTGTGTGTGTGTGTCAGATGCCCTCCCGTGTCTCCTGGGCTCTCGTTCTGTCCCTGTAGTTTAAATTTCCTCTAAAATGCATCAGATTCTTGGATGATTTTAGAAGTGGGACGTGTTTTTAAAATGAACTTAAATCTTCACTGTGTAACTTTTCTGGCTCCTGTTCGTCTCCATGGAGATGTTGCTGTTGTTGTTGTTGTTTTTGCCTGGACCGTCCCTGCAGACAGGACCTCGCCTCTCCACAGACCTGGACTGTTTTATCTCGGTGGTTTTGAGTCCTG